TGTGTTTGTCTGACGATTGCTAAAGCGTGAAACCCAGGGTCACAAACTCACATCTATTCAACCAAATATGTTAGCTCTATCTCTGATATTGAGCGCTTTCTAATAAGTACCGCGCATATAATATATAAATAATTATATATATATATTTATTTATATTTTTATACACACACACACACACACACACACACACACACACACACACACACACACACACACACACACACACATATATATATATATAAAGTGAACATAGAAGTCAACACTTACAGGCAACAGTCTGTTTCAGGCCTGATGATTGCATCTAGCATGAAACAGACTGTCGTCTCTAAGTGTTGACTTCTATGTTCACTTTTATATTTCCACACGCTCTACCCCTGATATTGAGCACTTTATCCCATAAATATAGCACATCTTAAGACTATATTTCTTTATATATATATATATATATATATATATATATATGTGTGTGTGTGTGCGTGTTATTAAAGACGACAGACAAGGTACTACGGTTAAGCTTTTTATTTAATTTTTCTTGTGCTCGAACAAGTGTTTTTGTTTTTAATCTACAGGGTGGTCCGAAAGTTTTGTCATCCCTACATAATATAATTTTCTGTTTCAACGCTCTGTGGAGTATTATCTAAGAGAGATTTTCACATGAACGATATCAGAATGCCAATCAGTTGAAGGACGTCGTTCGGAGAGCCTTTTGCAACAATCAACAAAGCACAGCTTCGTAAAATATCACACAAGACACGGCGTCGCATTATTTTATTGTGTTCCTACAGACCTTCTCAATGTGTGTCAATGAAAGGGAATAAACTGAATCCAGTCCATGTGCTTTGTATTAATGTATTACATATTGTTCTATTGTTCTCATACATTTTAGTAGGGGGTGACAAGACTTTCGGATCACCCTGTACAATAACTCCTACAATAGATTTGAGAGATGGCTATATGGTGATTTGATAAGCTTGGCTTAAGTTTGGCACAAGGTTATAAGTTTAGGGGCATTTAGACAACTTAACGAAATAAGCTACGTAAACCACAAAGATGTACAGGATGCTCCGAAAGTCTTGTCACCCCTACATATAATTTTCTATTTCAGATTGTTGACACGAAAATGATGGTGTCCATACAGACCTTCTCGATGTGTGACAGCGTCAATGAAAATGAATAAACCGAATCCAATACAGGTGCTTTGTATTACTGTATTACTTGTTGTTCCATTGTTCTCATTACTTTTTGGTAGGGGTGACAAGACCTACGGACCACCCCTACAATAACTCCTAGGGTAGATTTGAAAGAAGGATATATATATATATATATATATATATATATATATATATATATATATATATATATATATATATATAATGGGTTCAATTTTTCTTTCTCCATTTTAGAAATAATATTTTAACAATAAAGGAGAAGAAAGATCTCGATAAGAAAGGCTTTATTTTTTTTCACTTTCGAGAAGCCAAAATACCATTTAAGACAAAGATTTTTATCATCTATAAAAAAAATACGTCACCTTTCAGTTAACCATAACAAGTCAGTCTCTCAGTTCATCAGCTAGTAAGATCAGTTATTTTTTTTAATTCACTGGACAACTCCGCCACTTCCGTTCGGTATTCGAATCAATGTACAGTGTGGTCCGAAAGTAATGTCACTCTTACATAATATAATTTTCTATTTCAGATGACTGACACGAAAATGATGGTGTCCATACAGATCTTCTCAATGTGTGACAGCGTCAATGAAAGTGAATAAACTGAATCCATTCCATGTGCTTTGTATTATACTGGGTTACTTGTTGTTCTGTTGGTTTCGTTACCTTTTGGTAGAGGGTGACAGGAATTTTGGACCACCCTGTATAATAATCGGCAGGTTTCTACACATTGAGTGGGAGGAGAATTTATTATTCTAATGTCTTGTTTCAAACTCAGTCAGTGAGCGTGTGTATATATGAAATGGCGCAAGCATATTTAAGTCCGAATCCGAAGCCCAATACTAAAGCGGAAAGAAAGGGTAACCGTTCAAAAGATAGGGGAGGAGTGTGAACCGGACGGTAATCTTTTTCGAAGAATTAAGCAATATATCACTTCCTCCCCATCAAAAGAAAATTGTAGCAGATTATTTAGTAACTACAGGGTGGTTTGGAATTCTTATCGACCCCTACATAATATAATTTTCTATTTTAACGTTCTGTAGGGTATTACCAAGGAGAGATTTTCACATAAACGATACCAGAATACCCATCAGTTGAAGGACGTCTTTCGAAGAACCTTTGCAGCAATCAACAAAGGTCAGCTTCGTAAAATATCACACAGGACATGGCGCCACATCATTTTGTGCCAGGAAAATGATGGTGTACAAACAGACCTTCTCGATGTGTAACAGAGTCAATGAAAATGAATAAAATGAATCCAGTCCATGTGCTTTGTATTATACTGTGTTACTTGTTCTTCATTTGGTAGAGGGTGACAGGAATTTCGGAACCCTCTGCAGAGTTTAGTTAACCATTATACCATAATGTCAAAGTGCCCAAAAATGATTCTCTAAGTGTATCTTGGATGTGGCATAAGTCTGGGGCACCCAGTGAGGATCCAAGTCACTATTCAATCATAACTGATTTGGCGAGACAAGCTTGTTAACCATTACACCATGTCGGGTGCCCCAATGATTTTTCTAAGTGTAGCTTAGATGCGGCACAAGGCCGAAAGTGTGGAGCACCCAGTGAGGATCGATCTCACTACTCAGTCGTAATTGATCTAGTGATCAATTACATTCCGTCGCTGTGCGCATGTCCCGTGGAAATATAGCGATTCTCGAAACGTAGCTTTGATGTGGCACAAAGCGAAATGTATGGGCACCCAGTGAGGATTGAACTCACTATTTAGTCACAACTGATCTAGCGGCACAAGCTTGTTAACCATTACACCATGTCGAAGTGCCCTACCATCTCAGGGGATCTCGATTTACTTACTATGCATAGCTTAGATGTGGCTCAAGGCCGAATGTATGGTGCACCTAGTGAGGACCGAAATCACTTTTCAGTCGTGATTGATCTAGCGACACAAGCTTGTTAACCATTGCACGACGTCGAAGTGCCCAAGTGATTTTTCTAAGCGTAGCTTAGATGTGGCACGAAAGCGTGGGGCACCCAGTGAGGACCGAACTCATTTCTCGGTCGTAATTGGCCACTTCATGTGCTAATTACATTCTGTTTTGTGTCATCTGTCAGATTTTTTTTTCTCGTTTCATTTTCATCTAAAAAAAATGGATTTTTTTTTTAAACGGTCGTCTTTTATTTTATTTCCTTTATTAAAAAAAGAAAGAAAACCCAATGAAAGGTTACGTCGATGACACTAAATGATAGAGGCATGTGTAGGGACCTATGGGTGGGTGGACCGGTTGGAGGAAAAGAGAGAAGTGATATAAATTGCCACTATATGGAGACAGAAAACACTTTCATATGTCAAAAACACTAACGCGCGCAAATTCACAGAAGGAAGACAAAAAAAAAAAAAAAAAAAAAAAATTAACTAAAAAGATAAATTTTATAAACATGTATCTCATGTATCATGGGCGGATATCTAGGCTTCATAGATAAGATATTTCTACCACAAGGGCATTAAATTGACTACAGTCGTAAAAGGTCTTCGTGTTGGTTGTAAAAAAAAAAAATACAAAAAAGTTATCATAATGTAATCATAGGCCAAGGTGGGGGAAAGTTATAACTCTGGCTTCTGCTTTGAGAAAATGAGTAATATTTTATGGCGTCGATATTCAGAGAACTTAAAACGATTACTTGATTACTTATTTTAGTGTGAATAAGCCGTAAATAATCAACAGTGGCTTTTATAGTCATCTGTCACTGATATTATTGTCAACTAAGACTGTTTTTACATTTTTGTACACTGTTATCAATTGGAGATAACGTAAAAAAACCCACAATAAACAACGACATATATTCGCTTCATTGTATGAATTAAGATGACGTGAGTATTAAAAGTATTAAAAATATCGATTTTTGATCGATTTTTGTACCATTTATTTGGATGTTAACATATGCTTCTGCCTTTTTCTGTTGTCATTGAAGCTGTTTTAATGAGGTTTAACACTGTTCATTTTTCTTTACTGACCGTGATCCAAATGCTAAGGTCGTTACCAAGTTCAGGATATGAAAAGATCACCGATATTCAGAGAACTGTTTTGGTTACAGAGATTATTTTGGTTTCTTATTTTAGTGGATCATTTTACTTACAATTATTGCCACACGACGCAAACAATACCCGGTGACTTATTTAAGTAAATAAACCGTAAATAATGAACTGTCTTTTTATAGCCAACTGCCACTTCTATTATTGTCAACTAAGACATTTTTTTTAAATATACATAAGTGGCGAAGTAATCGTTTTAAGTAACGAGGTTAATCGAAATAAGTGCTACCTCATTTGGTGCAGTATTTTGTTTTATTTTATTTTATAATTCTGCTTGCTCTTAAATTATTAGTTACTAAGCACGTGACTTATGCCTTAGATAAATAATTAACCATTGCGTTTTCATTGACGAAAAAGGAAAGACGAAAGAAAAAGACAGAGTCACTGTTTGATTTTATTAAGAAAGGGAAAGCGGGCGTAATAATAAGAAAGAAAAGAAAGAAAGGAAGAAAAGAAGAGAAGAAAGAAAAAAGGCAGAAATAAAGAGAGAAAGAAAGAAAGAAAAAGACAGAAAGAAATAAAGAAAGAAAGAAAGGAAGTAGGAAATAAATAAATAAATAAAGATAGAAATAAATAAATAAAGAAAAAAAGAAAAATGTAAAAGACAGAAATAAATCAAAAAAGAAAGGAAGAAAGAAAGGAAGAAGGAAAGGAAGAAAGAAAAAAGAAAGAAAAAAGAAATAATGAAAGAAAAAAAAAAAGACAGAAATAAACAAATAAAGAAGGGAAGAAAGAAAAAAGAAAGAAAGAAAGGGAAGGCAGAGGAGGCGATAACACTCACATGGAGTCGCTACGAAAGAAAGAAAGAAAGAAAGAAAGAAAGAAAGAAAGAAAGAAAGAAAATAAATAAAGAAAGAAAAGAAGAAGGAAAAAAATAAAGATAGAAATAAATAAATAAATAAAGAAAGAAAGAAAGAAAAAAGAAAAAGACAGAAATAAATAAAGAAAGATAGGAAAGAAGAAAGGAAGAAAGAAAGAAAGAAAGAAAGAAAAGAAGGAAAAAGAAAGAAAAGAAAAAAGACAGAAATAAAGAAAGAAAGAAAGAAAGAAAGGGAAGACAGAGGAGGCGATAACACTCACATGGAGTCGCTACGAAAGAAAGAAAGAAAGAAAGAAAAATAAATAAATAAAAAAGACAGAACTAAATAAAGAAAGAAAGAAAAGAAGAAGGAAATAAATAAAGATAGAAATAAATAAAGAAAGAAAGAAAGAAAGAAAAAGAAAGAAGGAAAGAAAAAAGACAGAAATAAAGAAAGAAAAGAAAGAAGAAATAAATAAAGAAAGAACGAAAGAAAAGAAGAAAGAAAGAAAAAATAAAGAAAGAAAGGAAGAAAAAAGACATAAATAAAGAAGGAAAGAAAGAAAAAAGAAAGAAAGAAAGAAAGGGAAAACAAAGGAAGCGATAACACTCCCATGGAGTCGTTACGAAGTTAGAGGTTTTGAGTTCAAAGTTGTCCTCCTAGACCAGGGGTGGGCATTGGGCGACCTTTTTTTTAGAGTGCATGCCAAAACCGGCCAAATATCTGACACAAAATTTTTCCACGTGTCAACAAAATTTTTTTTAGAACATATTTGATATCTCTTAAGTATGTGAAGACCATTTTTTAAATGATAAAAAATCACCACAGATCAGTAAAGGCACGGTATAGAAAGAAATAATGCAAATCATGTAAAAAGTGACTCAATGAAAAAAAATTATGACACGTTTTTACGAAAACGTTTTTTGTTTATTTTTTATTAGCTTGAAAGTATAAATGTAGATATATAGAGTCACAGGATTTAAATATACTATTAACTATTATTAGCATCAACACAAATAGTTAACAGTAACACTGTTATTTTTTTAGATTAATCAATCATTATTTTTCCCAGTTATAGATTTTTATGTCTAAAACACAGTAAAAGTTTATTAAAAATAATCTTTCTCTGGTTTTAAATCCCTTATAAATGAAGTATAAAAAACAAAACAAAATATATATTTATTTAGCTTCAAAACGACATTTAAACAACCTTTAACCTTTGACACTTTCAAAAGAAAACATCAGATAAAACTAGAGACAGAAAACTTCTAGACTTTTTATATATTATCAGCGAGACTTCTGCTGCTGCATCACTGAGGACAGATTTTATATCGGGTTTATATTTAGTAACCTTGAGAAGTTTCATCGGTCAGGCTATTCCTGTTACAAAATTCATCACTGAGAACAAAGATTCACAAGCATATATAGATGAAAACATGGATAGTAATGATGTTGCAAGGTGTTTTAAACAGAAAAAAAAACTTTCTTGGATGGTATTCCAAGTCCTTAATACTTCGTTTTCCTCATTTCTCTGATAATTCCATCTCTAATCGTTCCTTTTCAATATGTTTCTAGTCAACAAATTTCTGCTTCCAAATTGAGCTACTCTGAAATTTAATCAACTGCATTTCAAAACCATCCATGTTTATCCATGCAAGTTCAGTTCATCCTGATTTATATTGTCTGGAAACTTAATGAATTTTGCTGTCTCTTCCAGTTCTCTGAATTTAGCAAATCTTATAAAGAACTGCTCAACAGTTGATTTGGTGATGTTTACCAACAGCTTTTGAAGACATTGACGGTCTGTTCTTCCATCTTTTGAAAGATCGTTGATGAAGCTCTTTAGGTTTGAGAAGTATCTACAATTATCTACATCCTTTTAAAAACTTCGAGTTTGATTTGAAAAGCCTTTATGTAAACAAAAGTAACATCAAGTGCCTTAGCAGAGACCTGTAATTTAATATTCAACTCATTTAAATGTTCACAAAAATCTGCACCCGCCTCCCCCCCCCAAAAAAAAAAACATCAGTTTACAACAAACCCACACGGTGTCGGAAAATTCTTGGTAAGACACATCTTGGTCATTCAAAAAGAGCTTTATCTCATCTAAGCATTCAACAAATCGTTTCAGAACCAAAATTTGGCTAAGCCAACGAATATTGTTGTACATTTTCAGTCTTTTATATACAGATTCTTCCTCATGCTGTAAAATTTGAAATTGTCTTTATTCAAAGCCCGAGCGGAAATGTAATTAGCAACGTTGGTAACTGTTTGCATCACTTCCTGGAGTTTCTTTAGGCCAGCTTTTGCGCACGAAATTTCTTCTGTATATATGATGCAATGAAAGCCTACTACTGTGTAACCACCATATTTTTCAAAGAGATTTACACCAGTCATGCTGGAGGCACAGTCTGTTGTGGCAGATACTACTTTTGAAATGTTAATTTGCCGACAATTCGTTCACAACTGCTTTACATATTTCTACCCCGGTAGTACGCTCGGCTATTGTTACAAGGGCAACCATCTCTTCAGGGACTTCATCACTTCTACAAAATTGAGAAAATATGGCTGGTCTAGCTGGTGATGTAATTTCCGTATTTTCATCAACACAAATAGAAAAAAAACTTACATGAAGACAGAGCTTTTGTCAAATGTTCAACTCTATTTCTTTCCTACTTAAGTATCCAAGCCTTAACTGTTTTCCGACTCACGGAAAAATCTTTAATGTGCTTAGAGATCTTTTCCTTTTCTGAACAATTGTCAAAAGGAAAGGCGCACATTCTAGCCGAACTTTTTTTTAATATACTCCCCCCATCACTGAGCGGCTTTCCATGTTGGGCAATAATTTTTGAAACCTCAAAACTAGCAGCAACTAAGTTGGAACTGGAACTACATGAAATAAAGTTTATAAAAGTATCACCCTATTTTTTTTTGTCTTGCTCAGTTCACGAGAAATTAATTCTTTTTGTTCCTCCTCATTCTATTGCTTAAATTCTTATGAAGCCTTTCAAAATATCTCTTTAAAGAAGAAATCCTACAAACGATTGTTTCGGAGCAGAAAATGCATGAGGCTTTATTGTCTTCCTTAATCGTGCCAAATGTTTTCAGTCCAGTATTCTTTAAATTCTTTAACATCTTCTTCGTTTGAATGACATCGTTTCTTAGCTGATGATCGTGACACCCTGCACAATCTGTAAAGGACAGAAAATAAAAATACATGAGATAATGTTTGTTAACCATATTCACCATAGTCTATGAATATAGAATACAGCGCAGTACGTAATCTGTTCAATGAAACAACGTTAAAGATTAACACTCACGAGTCAGACACTCTACTGAATCTGACTATATTGCCAATACCACCAGCAGTGGTTCCGTAATTCTTCGGTCTCTGATATCAAAGGCTGGCAGTGAATATTCGGGAAAAACATGGCCGCCTTTATACACGTCGCATTGAATATTTTGAGTCTTCTGATTGGTTAACCCTTCTATTGGTGAACTATAAAATGAGTCAGCTCATTTTGGCTGGCTCACTAGTACACCAGGGTACCCCAAAATTCCAACAATGTTATACATGAAAGAGGAGAAAGTATAAAACTCAAAAAGGGAATCGAATGAACAAGTTTGGCGTGCCAGAAACAAGTCATCGGCGTGTCATGTTTGACCGATTGCCACCCAAAGCTATTGAATCATGTCTGTGCTACTATTTACCCATAGCTGGGGGCGAAGACATGGATTCAAACCTTTCTCGAGGGTATTTGCCATCTGAGCCGCTATCCCTCGTGTCTCTGTACTAAAAGAATTAATGGTTAGCAGCTATATTATAGTTAAAATAGGCACGCTGTGACATCAATGGATATGAGGGCAACGGATTAATGAAGGATTAAATGCAACCGCAAAGATTTACGACAGTAGTGAGATTAGGATTAACAGAGGATCAGGGATCTCCAAATATATAAATGCGAGGAAAATTAATTAAGCAGTCCTTTTAAAAAAAGTTGCTGATAAGATAGATACGGGGGCGCAGAGGACACTTCAAGAGAGAAACTCTGTTCATCGTGGTCCTGGACAATTTCATTAGACACACCTAAATAAACATTCTCTGTCTATTTCAAGGATGTTGAAGGCTTTAGATTATTGAAAGGTTAAAAGAAATCGCTAATAGATACGATAGAAGTGTGAAAAAGAATCGATATGAAGGAATTACTATAACCATGAATACGCGAACTAGAATCGTCCTCCCCTAAAATGATTTTTTCCCGGTGCACTCATCCGAGGGACATTATGATCCGTCGTTTACAATAATCAAGCTAAAATATTGAAATGAGTCTCTCTCTGATTTCCCTCGCTCTTTTTCTTCTCTGCGTCTCTTTCTATCACTGTCACACCTAGGCTGTTGTCAAGTAGCCTTTGTTACTTATAGCGAAAGTTTCTTAAAAATAGTTTAAATCTGTAAAAGTTTTAATTTACAGTTAAATTTAGAGCTAATACATTTGACGTGTATCTAAATGATTAACGCGGACTCTATGAATAATTTGTTCTAGCAGTTATCTAATTTCGTTCAGTAAAAATAAAAAAAATAGTCAATTCGTTATGGCCCATGTGATCCATGTGTGATTTATTAAATCCAATATTCTTTATATCGGGGGGACGTTAAAGCGAAGTTTTACTGTACTTCAGTCAAATAAATACAAGGCGTTGCAGCAAAGTCCGATACTTGGCAAAAAGAAAATGGAATAGGCAATAAAAACAAAAGGTGTATATGCAGAGACCCGACAGTTTATTTAGCAACAGGTAGAGTTACATACTACATTATTTTTCAATGTAACCGCCGCCGGTGGCGACGACCATCTCAAGGCGGGCGCGAAATGAGTCACACGCTTTGGCGACCATGTCCTTGTCCATAGCGTCGAACGCCTTCACGATGGCAGCCTTCAGAGAGTCGACCGTGTTGTGGGCGTGCTTTTTGGTCTTGGCCTCGATCACGCCCCAGAAGAAATAGTCAAAGGGGTTTCAGTCGGGTGAGGAGGGCGTCCACAAGTCCGGCGACCAGTGGTGAGGAACATTGTTGAGCAGCCACGCCTGGCTCGTCTTGGCCTTGTGTGCAGGAGCGGAGACCTGCTGGAAGACGAAGGGGCGTCCGGCGGCAATCTCGTCCATCCAGGGCTTCACCACGCTCCTCAGCACCTCCTGGTAGATCTCAGCAGTGACTCTTTTGAAAGAAGAACGGAGGCATGACGTCCCTCTCGCTGGAGATGACACCAAGGACCCTGACAGAGGAGGGAAACTTCGTATGCTTCACAACGGGAACCACCTCGATGTCTTTGCCGATCCACCTGTCGTTCTGCCTGTTGCTTGTCTGGCCCTGGATGAAATTCTTTTCATCAGAGAAGAACCTCAGCATCCCGTCGGACCCGTGCTTGGGCTCGTTCAGCAAAGCCGCCGCCTTGATTTTCCTCGACTCTTTGGGGGCATTCGTGATGAGCATGCGGTAAGACTTGCGGTAGGAGGAATAACCAATGTCCTTCTTGATCGTTCGGCAGATCGTCGACTTGTGACAGCCGATGTCAGCGTCGATCTTTGCGTAGCTCTGGCTTCCATCATTGTTTGACTGTCTCCTTGACAGCGGCGACGGAGTCGTCGGTCCTAACGGCCGAAGAACGAACGTTGTGGGCCTTTTGTTTGGTAGTAAACTTGTCCTTCTCACACGCCTTCCACTTCCTCCAAATGTCCATGACCATGGTCCTCTTGAACCCAAACCAGGCCATCACTTCCACAGGCTTCTTCCAGGCGCGAAAAGAAGCTACTACCGCTGATCTGCGCTCATATTCCATCCGGGAAAAGGGTAGAGAGAAAAACGTTAGTTGTCAAACTGTCGGGTATCTGCATATACAACTTTTGTTTTTATTGCATATTTCGTTTCCTTTATGTCAAGTGTCAGATTTTGCTGCAACACCCTGTAGTTTAAATGATTGTTTTTATTCAATTTCCGTCTTCGCATGATTTTGTTTTTCATTTCACCCCAAACAAGATGATAATGCTACTAAGGTGCAAGGAAACAGGAAAGAAGAGATAGGCTAATCTATCTACTCCTATTGAGGAAACATAAATAAATATAGTCACTTTCTCACAGCCGTACCGTCGCTTCCCCCTACAAATACTTTCATGGTCACTGCTCTGACGAGCTACTTTCGCTGGTTCCTAAACTGTATGAATTTAAGCGTGTTACTAGGTTGGCATCTCAGTCCCACATTTTTACTGTCGAAACGGTGAAATGTAGCCGTCTCTTCTACTCCAATAGCTTCATGTCTCGTACTTCCCTTCTGTGGAACTTCCTTCCTCTTACTTGCTTCCCTGATAGCTATAGTCTTCAATTATTCAAATGCAATGTCAATCGACATCTTCAGATGCCTTGATCTAGTTCCCCGTCCTTCTCTTCATCCTTTCCTCTATCACGCCTCTTTACTCTTGCTCCCATTCTCTGTAACACCTTGCGTGATATTGGAACTCCCGCTTTACTTGGGGTGAAATGCTTAAAAAAAACAGCAAATAGAATTTAGTTTAAGCGGCGCCGTTAGATGTAGAATTGAGTTTTCCCGGTGACCACATGAACCGTCTGGAGTTTCAACTCCTGCAGGGCTATCCATGGCGGTAAGGTCGAAGAGGAAAGACCAAACTGAACACGACTAAGTTCCGAAGACTCCCACGGCGGAATAGGCAAAGATCTATAATGTAGATCTTTGCCTACTCCGCCGTTGACCATTGCGATCGTGTCGATTTAAACATGAACTCAACGGCCAAACCGGCGGGAGAGGGCAGCGACAGTCGGGCTGGCGTAACCAAGGCGGACCTTGACAGAGCAATCCTCCAACATCCCGATGCAACCAGGTTTACCAGATCTCGACGCGGGGGGAAGCAGCTCCTGTGCAAGGGCGCGGGCTTCTCCGTCGCGCAGAGTGGTCCACCAAAATCAAAATTCATGCGAATGGCCTCGTCAAACTCTGTTTGACCCACAGCCATCTCCGCCACCGCCACCAGGGTGTTTGGGGGGTGTAAAAAGGGAATAGGGAGAGATGACGACAATCTCGATCCTCGGATGCGAGCGGTCGCCGACGAGAGTTGAAAAGACTTTAGAAGGGACCGGACACCCAATCCTAAACCGGAAACCAGGGATAACAGTCTACTCCTGTTCGAAAGACCAGGGAGGGGTATGAACCGGGCGAAAGGCGAATCAATCTATTCCTAACTCTTTGATTTGATTTGAGCTACCTTGCTGAATAGATTACATTAGTCGGTACCTTAGTCGGAATAGCTAAACTCCTTCCAGTGAAAACCGAATTCACTAAAGCAAAAAAAGTATTGAGAAATTGTTTTTTTTTCGACGGTAGGCGCCATTATCAACAAGGAAACGCAAAATTATCAGATGTACGCTAATTTTTAATTGTTGCAAAAATATGAATAAGATGTGAAAGTTGTTGAAGGACGGCCATTTTATTTAATTGAAGACCCCTTTCACTCCTGTTGCATACGCATACATATATGCGGGGCGGGGCATATCGATCTTCTTTCGGGTGTTTGTTTGCATGAACGACTGAATCTGTGTGTGGCTTACCATGTTTAAGTTTGTGAGTAATTCGAGGTGAGCATTGAAAAGCAGCCATGTTTATTATGGACTTTTAGTAAACAGCCTCGTTTTCGCTCCGAGCCAATCAGGTTTTTGGTTTAGGTTTTCTTGTTCTGTTTTCTTAAAGGATTTGTCATGCCGACATTTTTCAGTATCGAATGTTGGTTAAGAGGGAGATACGAATAAAAGGTACAGTTTTTTTTTTTTTTGAGTTGGGGGTGTATTTTAACTTTGTTTTTTTTTTTCCTTTAAATATCATATGACTGACGCTTCTTTTAGATTTTAATGTCTTCTTTTCCCCTTTTATATTTTCTTCTCTTTTTCTGCATCTTTTTTCGTTTATTTTTTCGACTATGAACTTTATTTCCTACTCTTTTTTTTTGCCTTTAGTCCTCGCCTCCTCTTTCGCCTTATTCATTCCCTTCTAAAACATTTCATTCATTTTTTTTGTAATTGCTTAGTGATTTAAAAAAATACTTTCCCATTTATTAATCTTTTGCGAGTTCTTTTTAATTTCTTCGCCCAATTATTTCTTTCATTACTGTTTTCTTACTTATCCCTCATTTCTTTCCTTCCTTCCTTCCTTCCTTCCTTCCTTTCTTTCTTTCTTTCTTTCTTTCATTCTTTCTTTCATTCTTTCTTTCGTTCGTTTGTTCGTTCTGTTTATCCTTTTCTTTTTTCTCTTTGTCATTCTTTCTTCAAATGATCCTTCAATTCAAATTTCCTTCTTTAATTTATCATTCTTTCTTTTCAGAGTGAACTTGCCTCTTTCATCCTTTCTTTTTTTCCTTTAATTGATTTTCTTTCTTTCTTTCTTTCTTTCTTTCTTTCTTTCTTTCTTTCTTTCTTTTCCAATTGAACTTTTCAATCTTCAAATGAATTTTCCTCCATTTATTCTTTCTTGTTCAACTGATCCTAATTTTCTTTTCTTTCGTTGTTTCTTCTTCTGTTCATTCTTTCTTTCTTTTTTCTTTCTTTCTTTTCCAATTGATCTTTCTTTCTTAAATTGATCCCTCCTTTGTTCGTTCTTTTTTTTCTTCAAATGATCTTCGCCTGCTTTCTTTCTTTCTTTCTTTCTTTCTTTTCCAATTGACCTTTCTGGCTATCTTCGATAGAATCTTCCCCCATTTATTCTTTCTTGTTCAAATGATCCTAACTTTTCTTTCTCTTTCTTTCTTTTTTCTTTCTTTCTTTCTTTCTTAAATTGATCCTTCCTCTGTTCATTCTTTCTTTCATTTTTCTTTCTTTCTTTTCCAATTGATCTTTCTTTCTTAAACTGATTCTTCCTCTGTTCATTCGTTTTTTCTTCAAATGATCCTAGCTTTCTTTCTTTCTTTCCTTCTTTCTTTCTTTCTTTCTTTCTTTCTTTCTTTCTTTCCTTCTTTCTTTCTTTCTTTCTTTCTTGTTTCGTTCGTTTTTCATTCTTTTTTTTCAGTCTTTCTTCAATTGATCTTTCCCAATTCTTTCCTTCTTTTTCATTTTCATTCATGGACATTTTTCTTCCCTGTCCTCTCCTTCCAAAATGCACTAGTCTTTCTTAATAATATGATTGCTCGACTATTACTCTCCCTTAAAATTTTTTCGCTCTCATGAAAGCTTTCCATTCGCTTCGTTCTATAGTTTATTTGTCTTACGAGAATTGAAACCGCCTCCGTCCATACGAAATACCGCCGCCCCTCCTCTCACACGGACCTCCGCTAATTTTCCCGATCGTTGGACTAAATTCGGGTGGTCCTTTTCGTTACTCTGCAGGGACCCTCGCCTTTCACGATGATCAACTTTGCAATTTTTTTTTTGTTGTTGTTGTTCACGAAGAGTTGAAAATGAAAAACAACAACGTAAAAAAATATGAGGGTGTCTTTGTGATGTCGGAAGAGAAATGTGAGGTAGAAGCTTTTAGGGGGGTTGAAGTGAAGGTCAAGGGTCAAATGCCTTTGGGAGGTAAGAGTAAATTGGGCTGAGTGGTACAGATAAGGGAGAGGAAGCCGAAGGTGGCGGGGTGACCATTGCACGTCGTCATCTTCAATGTCAGTTACTGAAATCATCAAAGAATTAGAAAAAAGGACAGCTCACGTGCGCATACACGAACACACACACACACACACGCACACACACACACATACACGCACACAATCACCAGTAAAATTAGTCGACACAGAATGTCAGTAGTCCTTAATAATATTTGCCTTAAATATACCGGGTGTACCAGCAAAATTGTCCAGATCGTGATACGACATAATTGCTCATCCCATAAAATGTTTAATATCTAAAAATCCACTAAACTAATTGAGTTTCCTTTTTTCCAGGTTTTCAGATGAGACGTTTAGCCAGCTTGACACCATTTGCCGTAAGAATCACTGAAAAGTTATTTGAGTTATTCAACTAGAAAGGGAACAGGTTAAAATCGTTTTGTGTCCGCCCCATTATGTCTTTCCCAAATGAGCAATGGTGAGAGGAAAAAAGATCATTCCGGCCTTCAGTAATAGTACTGACATTCATAGTCGGTGAATAAGTTTTAAAAAGAGGGAACAGTATAGAGGGAAACTGGAACAGGACGTCACAACAGCAAGAGGAGTTAGAATTTCAACTTAGAGCGAAATACATTCTTATTGTTCAAAATAGAGTCCAATTATGTGATATAAAAAACTCGGAGAATTCCAGTAAGATATCTTTAATCATTTCTAAGATACAACCATTCAAAGCTTAATCTAACAGTTGAACAATTTTGCTGTTACACAATTTGAACAATTTTGTTGCGACAAGATTTGGATAATTTTGCTGTTACACAATTTGAGCAAATTTGTTGTTACAAGATTTGGAGACTTTTGCTGTTAACACAATTTGAACAATCTTGCTGTTACAAGATTTGGACATTTTTGCTGTTACACAATTTGCAAAATGTTGCTGTTACACAATTTGGACAATTTTGCTGTTACAAGATTTAGACAATATTGCTGTTACAGAATTTGGACAATTTTGCTGTTACAAGATTTGCACAATTTTGCCGTTACACAATTTGGATAAATTTTGCTGTTACACAATTTGAACAATTTTGCCGTTAAAACTACGAAAGAAACGAGGTAACTAAGGTTTAAATTAAAATGAATTTAAAAAAATGAAAAATCTTTTAATTTAACGCTAATAGATTTAAATTTAACTTTAAAATTTTCAGTAAGTAAGTAAAATACTTTGCTGTAATTTAAACTAATTTAAATTGATTGGATGGAGTGCTTCTTTTAATTTTAAATCGCAAAATATCGCTGATTTTAGTGCCATGTTTAGCCATCTGTCATCATGATGTAATTCTCTTTATTAAAAATCTTTCAAAAATAAGATATACATTTCTTAAGCTTTACTTGGAGAATATTAGCTGATTTAAAGTTTAGTTAATAATTTGATTTGAGACAACTTTTAATTACTGTTCGTTTAAAATACCACATTTTTTAAACACGGGAGTGGATTTTTTTTTATAATGTCTTGAAAGCTTTAATGACAGCTTTACAGGGAATTTAATTGATTTCTTCTACGGGGAATATAACTGAAAATTACTTGACGAATATAACGTGAATAGCTTTTTATATAATTTTTTAATTATGCAATGATCTTAAACATTTAGTAAAATAGCCGTAATCTAATGATTTCAAGTACATTGGTTTTGAGCTTGTTAGAGTTATCGCTCTTATTTTCAGATAATGTCGTGTATGGACATCCATATTTGCAAAAATATGCACATTTATACACACACAAAATAAATTCAAAACACTTAGTAAAATGCTGGGTTCGCTGAATTGTAGTAAGATTTTCAATTTTTGATCAGTAAATATAGTTTTTATTTAATAACAATATCATATTACCGAACCAAATTAATAAAGAATTTTAAAAGATTTAAAACTATGTAAATTATTCTAATTAAAATTCAATAAAAAATGAAAACAATTCTTGTAAAAATTAATTATTCATCGAAAACAATTTTTCTCTGAAGAGAATACTGTTCATAGTATATGTTATTGATAAATTTGATTATAAAATCTGATACAAAATTTTTGAACATGAAAACTTGCACATGAAAAATTTATCATAAATTTTTGAGCTTTAAATTTTGATCATGACAACATGGTCATGAAAATTTGAACAACGATGAAACATGATAGACTTACTTTGGATGCATTACTCTGTAAAATAGCAGATAAAATGTTTCTGTAGATTGCCGAATTCATTCTGCAGCTACCATCATGGGTTACATCATCAATAAATATGAATGAGCCTCTTCCGGAAGCTGCCTAAGTCAAGACTCTGACTTCATGATGCTTCACAAATGAGCTTGTATGCTTTGAATCATAATCATATCCTTTCTTTCTCCACACATTGTCCGTTCCATTATTTTGGTAGAGATTAATTTTGGTTTCATAAAACTTTCTTCCAGAACTTTTGTCGTTTATTCCTTGCAAATTCTAATCTGGCCTTTCGATTCTTACTGCTGACGTGTGGCTTGTGGCATGGCCTCTAAATTTCTGCTCCCAAATTTTTCTTCGAACGGTGGATTATGATACCTCTACCCTGCACCGTGGAGGTTGTTGGGGTTGTCAATGACTCAATTTTAGGATTTTTCCTCACAGTTCTTAATATTTCTGTCATTAACTGTCGTTTTTCTTGTCTTGCTCAGTACAACAATAGTTTCTTTCTTCTTCAGGACATTCCAAATTGTTATGCTTGTCCAATGTCTCTGATCAATTCTCCTTTTCTCAGCTTCAAAATGGCTTGCTTTTCTCCCATGAACAGATCTCTTGTCTTCATGTTGGCTTAACCTTTTTAACAAGAAATTCCGTCTTTACAGGTAGAAACCCAAGGCTAAAATCATGAGTAATCATTCAGAGCTAAAGGGTGTTTCATTAAAACGGATCAAAATCAACAGTAAATAAATCAGTATTATTGATGAAAATTAAATTTGTTTCTCTATTGGATCATGTTATGAAAATCATGGCAATTATGTGTGAAAAATGATATCGCCCAAATGTCCGCCAAGGCTTTGGAGGCACACCTCCACTCGATGGTAAAAATTTTTGATGACGTCTCTGCATAGTTGCTCCTCGATCTCACCAATATGCCTTATTATCTCATCCTTCAGTTGTTGAATTGTTGTTGGCTTGGTGGCATAGACTTTACTTTTGAGATGACCTCAAAGGAAGAAATCTAAAGGCGTCAAGTCGTACGATCGTGGTGGCCAATTGACGTCGCTGTTTCGAGAGATGATGCAACCTGGCAACATCTCATTCAAATTCTGTTTGAACGTCCATTTTCGTAATAGGCTTCGATAACTTTAACGACTTGTTTGATTGTTAATCTTTCCATCGTTGAAATTGCCAAACACTTAAGTTGTTGAATCTGAAAGAAAAAGAAAAAAATCATTAGACGCTTAAACTTAATTCACATTTAAACTCGGTCCAAGTTACTGGAACACCTTATATTTAATGCTTAAACAATCAATCTAGAAGGCAACACCTGCGCAAAAAAGAGACACCTGTCAGTCAAGTGTCCCAATAGTTTTGCTCACTTGAAAAATGGATGGGATCAAACAAAAGGTGGTATGTCCTAAGTTGTTCAACTCATCTAAATGTAAATACTAAAAAGGTAAAATTCTGAACTCTTGTCTCATATTCATTTTTTGATCTTAAACCCCAAATGTTTTCAATGAACAACAAAAAACAATTGGTCTTGCCTTTCCACTGCTTGTAGAGGTGAGTGTATATTTATATTAGTAACGCAATATTTTTTATAAGTATTGTAAAATTTTAAACATAAATGATAATACTACTGCATATATGCAGTCTCAAGTTCCTAAGGAAAGTTAAATTAATGGATTTTTAGGGTTCCTCTACATGAATAGGAGTTCACTTTTTCAATAATAAGAATTATATGTAACGGGGTGTGCCTCAGGATTTTGAGGGGAAGCATGGCCAAAAAAGTTTGGAGACCATTGGCCTCAGTCGACAAGCCCTGACCACTGCAGCAAATTTCGACCAACTTGAAACCCCAGCCACACACAAAAAAGTCTGCAGGATCTCACATTAAAATGACCTTGTACTGAACTTACACTATCCGAGAAACAAATAAATGTCAATCTCCTGACTGCTGCTTGCTCACTAGCTCACAAAGGACACTGCTTATAAAGAGTGGTCACAAATGTCCGTACCACATTCACTTTGTGCGCGCAGTTGAAATCCGTCCAGCCGTTCAATGGCACCTTATATAATAGATTTCTTCTCGTAAAGTCTTTCCACTAAGACTAAAATTAGTCGACTCAGTAATCCGTATACTGGCCATGACCGAGTGTATTTTATCACCGAGACTTCAATCAGGCAAGTAGCAGGAAAAATTGATTGATGGCTTTAGAACTGGTACACGATCTCAAAACCAGCCTTAAACAGAGAAGCCAGGGCAAGGTACCAACAGCCAAACACGGTCCACTTGTCAGATTACAGGCTGATAAAGAGACCAGATGACCACATACATTTTAAGATTGGCGGTCAGCTATTAATTGTTCTCGGGCCGTTCGATCGATTGCCTCTTTTTAAAGCTCTCCTTTATTGATAGTTTATCTTCTAGCAACGCCACATGGCATTGCTCGGAACGATATGGGTCATGTGATCATCATCTCGAATCAATATTTACTGAAAGGCGATTGCACCAGTACATCCGTCAGTCTGACAGTTATTAACAGAAGTGTACCCCTCGTATAATGTTCATTCTATCAGATTAATTAACTTTTTTTTTTCATAAGGACGTGCGTGTTCTTAACAGATCTTCTTCTTCTATGAATCATATCCTTTCAGAACGAATGCGGCCAAGGCTCTCCACAGCATCATCTCCTTTGTAACTCTTAGTGAAGTTTATCTTTTTGCTATCTCTCCTAATCGCTGTTCTGCCAATCATTTACACAATCTCATTCTACTCTTTCTATGCGCAATGTCCCTTCAGGATGTGGCTGATCATGGCTCTCCACAATTTCCTTTCCTTTTGTAGCTCTTAGCAATGTTTGTCTTTTTGCTATCTCTCCTAATCCCTGTTCCAACCAGTTGCCGCGGTTCTCAACTCCATTTACTCCACAATTTCCTTTCAGCTCTTCTATGTTTCTCTTTTGCTATCTCCGCAATCAATTCTACCTTTCAAAGTCCCTTCAGGATATGGCTGGTCATGGCTCTCCACAATTTCCTATCCTTTGTAGTTCTTAGTAATGTTTCCTCTTTTGCTATCTCTCCTAATCCCTGTTCTGCCAACCATTTACACAATCTCATCTCTCTCTTTCCTAACAAGTCCCTTCAGGATGTGGCTGATCATGGCTCTCCCACAATTTCCTCTCCTTTATACAATGTTTGTCTTTTGCTATCTCTTAATCTGTTCTGCCAACCATTGACACACAATTCACCTCCCTATGCGCAAAGACCTTTCAGGTTGTATGGTCATGGCTCTCCCAATTTCCTAGAGCTTTTGCAATGTTTGTCTTTTGCTATCTCTCTAATCTCTGTTCTGCCAACCATTTGCACAAGCACGTAAGTTAAGTTATACGCTGCTTTTCGCTTCACCACCTGCCTTCAGTATACCCTGAGAGTGTTAAGTTCATGTCATGTGTCGTAGAAATGTCCCTGTCTGATTTAAAGTGTCCTATGTATTTTATATATATATATGTATGTATTTATGTATCGGGTGCGATGGGTAAATTGTCGCCATTTTTATATTTTTAATTCCGCGCATGCGCGTTGTTTGATTTGGATTTTTATCGACTGTCCAGTATCGTGCGGTCGGTTTGGCACAGTCTGGAGAAAAAAAGCACCCTGACGGAATTGACCCCGCCAGAAACGGCATGCTGTACTGCTTGGCATTCGCGCCTGAAGCGCCAATACGAACATTTCAGAGTGTTAGGGTATCAATCCGGGGACAGTGCAGAGGATTCGAAAAGAATGGATGTGTTATGCATTAACACCGCAAATGCAAAATATTTTTTTACTTGCATGCAAGGGAGGTAACTTATGTGAACCTGTCTCGAGATTTTTGAAGAAAGCGAGCAATGTAACGCACAGTCTATATGATTAAACCCGTTTAAATTATGTTGAAACATTATGTGGAATAAAAAAAAATTCATTGTTGGACTTATTGATTTAACGCTCATTATGTGTTGTGAATAAAAAATTTGAAACAGTGTTTCATTCCAGTCTACGGACGTTGATTACTTATTTACCTACGCTCATTCAATTTTTCTAGATTTCATTATATAGATTCATCATTAGGCTACGGACTTAAACTCCCATTCAATTTCTCTAAGCTTATGGCTATATCGCTTTGAAACAGCATTTCTCGTCCAATCATTGAAGTTAAGCAACGTTGAGCCTAGTCAGTACTTATATGGGTAACCGTTTGGGAATACTAGGTGCTGTAAGTTTGGATGTGGTTGATTAGATTTCATTATATTCATTTATGCAAAAATACTACTGGCGAACGGAAAATACCCTTCTCCCTCCAACTATGGGTTAAACAGTGGGACAAATTGTGGCGTTTGCCCCCTACCAACACGCACCGGAACATTGCGTTAGAGCTATTGCCCATTCGTCTCCGTGATGCATCACAATCTAATCCTGGCCGTTTCTGTTGGGTCATCGGATTTCAGTCAAAGCCAAAACGAATCACCCACATCGATGGTCAAGACGCGTACATGAAGGGCAAAGATGACCAGATCTTTACCTATCCCTGCGTATAAACGACTAATATTTATTTATCTACCCCGATCCAAATAGAGGCAGGCAGACTCATTTATATATAAATGGGACAATGTTTTTATTGACAACGCGTTTCAGCTTCGTTTGGTGGCTGTCTTGGCGTCTTCAGGTCAGAATGAAAGACAAATCTGTGTGTGTGTGTGTCTTTTAAATTAAACTCGCTAATATTTGCTTGTTAGATTGGCGACTTCCGGCCAGAATTATAGAAGGAAACTGCCTGTATTTTTCCTTCTTTTTATGAAAGTCGTTAATGCCCGTTGCCGAGATAAGCGTCTTCCAGTAGGAAAGAAATAACAAAACTGCTTTATTATTATTATTATTTCTTTGGATTTTCGTTGTATACATATTTCCTTCCGAGTCCCAATCAGAGACCTAAGTACAATTACATCTCACACCTTACGAAGGGCTTTATCTATGCTTAATAGTGATTTTCCAAGCGTAGCTTAGATGTGGCACAAGGCCGAAATTATGGGGCACCCAATGAGGATCGAACTCATTACTCAGTCGTAACTGTTCTAGCGAGACAAGCTTGCTAACCATTACACCACGCCGAGGTGCCCTATCTATGCTTAATATATGTGATCTTAAGTTTTATTTTGTGGTTTTGGTTTTTTTTTTCTTAAAAAATGCTCAGTGGAAAATGTCATGATGACATTTCTGACCTTAGGTCTCTGGTTGGGACCCGGAAAGAAATGAGTATACAACAGAAATCCAAGGATAATAATAATAATAATAATAACCACTGAGAGATGGTATGAGCACCAACCAGACACAGTTACACATAATAACGATGTAACTATCCTCTGGGACATGTCAATTCAAACTGACAGGGAAATAAAAACCAACAGACCTGATGTTATCATAAAAGACAAGAAATTCAGACAAGCGTATGCTTATTGACATAGCAGTACCATCTGAGAGAAAAGACCTGCATGAAAATGATCGAGAAATTGTCCAAATACAAGGACCTGGAAATCGAGATTGTGGGAATGAAGACTGAGATTGTACCAATAGTAATTGGAGCTCTAGGCCTCGTGAGGAAAGGAATGGACAATTTTACTAACAGTGTCCCAGGTAACATCAACATACAAAGTTGCCTAGAAGATCGCTCTACTAGGAATATCCAATATACTAAGAAAAGTGCTATCAATTAAATGACAATTTTCTTTTAGGACCATAATTTGGGCCCAGCTCTATGATACAAAGCAAGAAACATAACATGCAGGAATAATAATAATAATAACGATAATAATAATAATAATTAGAAGAAGAAGAAGAAGAAGAAGAAGAAGAAGAAGAAGAATTAGAAGAAGAAGAAGAAGAAGAAGAAGAAGAAGAAGAAGAAGAAGAAGAAGGAGGACTTGGAGATCGAGATTAACAGGATGTGGGGAATGAAGACTGAGATTGTACCAATTGTAATCGGAGCTCTAGGCCTCGTGAAAAAAGGAATGATGCTATTTCTGACCTTAGGTCTCTGGTTGGGACCCGGAAAGAAAGGAATAAACACCAGTAATCAAATAATAATAAAAATAACAAAAAAAGGAAAACTGCAGGTAACTGGTATGAACAACACCCAGACCCGCTTAGTGATAAGACCTTACAGAACAATCAAAGGTAATCGTCCAGACCCCAAGAACAGAATGTGTTTTTTACTGACACAGCACTTCCTGTAGATTGTAATGTATCTTTGAAGATCTTCAAAAACCTATCAAAATACAAGTATCTTGAAGTGGAAATCTACAAAATTGTGGCACATGAGGACATCAGTAATTTCAGTTGTAGTTGGAGCACTCGGATTGATTGGAAAAGGTTCCAATAGACTCATCGAATGCATCCCTGGAGGGACATGCCTTAAAGAAATAAAAAAAAAAATGTACTCACAAGTACAGCTTACCCATCACGAAGAGTATCTTTTTTTTTTAAGCATTCAACCCCAAGAAAGGCGGGAAGCCACTAGCACGCAAGGGGTTACAGAGTTGGAGCGAGAACAAAGAGGAGTGATAGGGGAAAGGATGAAGAGAAGGATAGGGGATAGATCAAGGCATCTGGAGACGTCAATTGACATTACATTTGAATAGTTGGAGATTATAGCTATCAGGAAAACAAGAAAAGGGGAGGAATTTCCACAGATAAGAAGTGCGAGACATGAAGCTGTTGGAGTAGGAGAGACAGCTACATTTAACAGTTTCGTGAGAGCGAGAGGTCAGCCTAGTTGAGCGCTTGAATTCATGAAGTTTGGTAACCAGCGAAAGCAGCTCATCGGAGCAGTTACCGTGAAAGTATTTGTAAAAAAGACAGAGGGAGGCAACGGCACGTCTGTGAGAGAGCGACTGCAGACGAGATTCCAGATCAGCGCCAATTACATTGCATATCAGTCTTTGGATTTTATCAAGGACCTTGAGACAATTAGAAAGGGCCTCCGGATAGCAATACTCCATGCAAGGGCGAATGGTTGATTTATAGATTTGAAGGATCGACTACGGCGAGAAAAATTTCCTGGTGCGACATAGGGAGCCAACTTTCCTTGCAGTGGACGAAGCTATTGACTCAATGTATTTGTTCCATGTCAGGTCAGCAGTCAATCTGAGACCGAGCAGTCGCAAAGAGGTGCTCTCGTAGAGTTGAACGTCAGACATTCTAATGGGAGGCAGAGATGGTTTTCTCTGGTGGGTAGTAGAGAGCAGTTTTGTTTATGTAAAATTGTGTCCGGATAGGACCTGTAACAATTTTATGGGACTTTAAAAGACACACAGACAGAACAATCAAAGGTAATCGTCCAGACCCCAAGAACAGAATGTGCTTTCTTATTGACACAGCACTCCCTGTAGATTGTAATGTATCTTTGAAGATCTTCAAAAACCTATCAAAATACAAGGATATTGAAGTGGAAATCTTCAAAATTGTGGCACATGAGGTCATCAGTAATTTCAGTTGTAGTTGGAGCACTCGGATTGATTGGAAAAGGTTCCAATAGACTCATCGAAAGCATCCCTGGAAGGCCATGCCTTAAAGAGATACAAAAAAAAATGTACTCACAAGTGCAGCTCACCCATCACGAAGAGTTTATATAAAATTGTGTCGGGTTGTACGGTGTTTGCACCCACGGAATATAAAACTCTGCATGTTAGATTCGCACTGGAAAATTTGCAACTTTTACGTGAAGGAAACTGCAAGAAACTGGTGTGAACATTACCCAGACCCGGTTACAGAGATCGAACCGGTAACAATGTTATGAGACTTTAAATTACACAGACAGAACAATAAAAGCTAATCTCTCAGATACCGTGATCAAAGACCAAAAAAAAGAATGTGCTTTCTTAATGACATGGAAAATCTAAAAATTATGGTACATGAGGACATAATTCTAGTTGTAGTTGTGTTGTAACCTAGAAATAATTATTGAATGAGGAATAACCAAAACGGAGGTTGGAAATGAAATGGTAATGTTTATAACATCAACAAAATACAATACTCGCCAGCGGCGTGAAGTAGGTAAACCACTGTTAGTGGTCGACTACTTAGACAGCATATTAACACCACTTACATAATAAAATAAAAGCTTCAAGAATGATTTTTCATTTGAAAAATTCATATAACCTTCAAGATGAGGGACAGTCCGAATAATGTAAATAGTGAATACCTCATTTCAGAAATATAGACTAGATACTGAAGGGCCGAAAACGTTGTGATAAATATGGCGACAAAGATGAGGACAATAGTCCGAATAATGTAAATAATGTACATAATACCTCATCTCAGAAATATAGACAGATACTGAAGGGCCGAAACGTTGTAATAAATATGGCGACAAAGATGAGGACAATAGTCCGAATAATGTAAATAAATACCTCATACATACCTCATCGTTGTAATAAATATAGACAAGATACTGAAGGGTCCGAAACGTTACATGATAAATATGGCAGATACTGAAACAAAGATGAGGACAATAGTCCGAATAATGTAAATAATGTACATAATACCTCATCTCAGAAATATGAACAGATACTGAAGGGCCGAAACGTTGTAATAAATATGGCTCAAAGTTGGATCTGGATCTAACTAACGATCCAAAGATGAGGACAATAGTCCGAATAAAGGCAGTGGAGAACTTGGAGAGGAGATAATGATACTGAGATCCTCATCTCTAGAAATATAGAAAGATACCTGAAGAAGGCCGGAACGGCCGAAACGTTGTAATAAATATGGCGACAAAGATGAGGACAATAGTCCGAATAATGTAAATAATGTACATACCTCATCTCAGAAATATAGACAGATACTGAAAGGCCGAAATGTTGTAATAATTATGGCGACAAAAATGAGGACAGTTGTCTGAATAATGTAAATAGTGTACATAATACCTCATCTCAGAAATATAGACAGATACTGAAGGGCCGTAACGTTGTAATAAATATGGCCTCAAAGTTGGATCTGGATCTAACTAACGCCTTTATCCACTGTGCCATGTGTCCTTGAGTGACAGGACCCAAAGAGTGTGCGTTCAATACCCGGTTAAGGCAGTGGAGAACTTGGAGAGGAGATAACTGATAACTGAGATCCATTAAAACATGGCACGTGGAACTAGAACAGTCTAACCCATTGAGCGAAATAAACATTCTAACCACCTGAAGAAGGCCGGAACGTACAACGGCCGAAACGTTGTAATAAATATGGCGACAAAGATGAGGACAATAGTCCGAATAATGTAAATAATGTACATAATACCTCATCTCAGAAATATAGACAGATACTTCATACGAATATCGTGTTTTTTTTTTTTTTTTTGAGGTCCCTGAGGTGAAAATAAATCTCACAGAGTTTTTGTTCCCTTTGGCTTATCGTAACTGAAAAACATTTCATATATTGGTTGTTGTAGTTAGAGGTGGGGGAGGGCATTCATTGACATCCACGGACACTAAAACTTTCCTACTCCAGATAGAGATAGAGAGAGAAAAACAAAAAAAAACAAAAAAAACAGTAGTGTTAGAAGCGATGTCTTGCCAGATGGCACGGCATGTACAGAGAGCCGATGGGGTCAGTAATAGGGAGAGCATGTCTCATTTCCCGCCTCTCATCAATTATCGGGCGCCGAACGCCGAAGGCATTTAGGTCAAAATGGCCGATGACAGATTCTTTGAGTTCTTTGCGCTCCACTCGCCTGTACTCCAATTGGCACGGTCACGACATGAAATTCTTCCCTCCCCTCCACCTTTCTCTCTCCTAATCTCCATACATGTAAGGCTCTAAACTTCCTTCACTCAAACTGGTCTTTGGCCTATATCCGAATGTTTTCATCTTTTACAGACACTTCTCCACCCACCACAAGAAAAACACACATTAATCAATGGACACGTATTCTTTCTTTCTTTCTTTCTTTCTTTCTTTCTTTCTTTCTTTCTTTCTTTTTTCTTTATATTATTTTGTTTCTTTCTTTCTTTTCTCTTCTATAACGACATTCTTTCTTTTTTCTTCCCTTTGGATATACAATTTTCAAACTTTTGTATACATAATTTTGTTTCTTTTTACAATTCGGTTTTATTTCGTCCTTCTTTTCTTTCTTTCTTTCTTTCTTTCTTTCTTCTTTTGTATATACGATTTATTTCTCTATCTCAGTTTGTTCATATGCCTCCCCCCTCTCTCTCTATGCCGATCTATTTCAGCTTGTTCATTATCTATCTATCTATCTATCTATCTATCTATCTATCTATCTATCTATCTATCTATCCTGGTCTCTTCTTATCTGCCAGTAGGGATGGATAGAGGAAACAAAGAGCTGAGTTCGAAATCCAGTCGGATTCATTACATTCACTTGGGAAAGGTATTAATACTATTCTTCTCCCCCCAAGTTGTGGGTAAATAACAGGGCAGACTGGGTTTTCTAACCTTGAGTGGCAACCGGTCTAGGAGAAGGAAAAACTCTGAATTCTAAACCGGTCTCGGCTCCGTCAGGCTTTAGGGCTCAATTATCCTGAGTTAACCTACTTAGCGAGCCTGTTTCTTTCTCTTCTATCTATCTATCTATCTATCTATCTATCTATCTATCTATCTATCTATCTATCTATCGCTGTCTTGTTCGATTCATTATATATATATATATATATATATATATATATATATATATGAATTTAGGCAAAAATGGCAGGGGTAAAAAATGGCAACGGAAAAAATGGCAGGGTAAAAATGGCAACGGTAAAAATGGCAACGGTAAAAATGGCAAAAGTGGATAAATAGGTAAAAATGGCAAAAGGAAAAAAAATATAGATGAATATCTCACAATGAGTTTATTAAAATCTTGGATACAATACATAATGGAAAAACATGAGTTTGTCAAATTAAAAGAATATTCAGCTAAAGCTCCCCCTACCATGAGATTTTTACTTTTTAGGCGATTATGTCTGAACACACTGAAAAAACTTGGGAAAAACAATTATAGGTCCACTTGATGACGGCTTCCGGTATTGAAATCAGAAACCGACATTAAGCGGTGTTTATCGGAAAACAGTTCCTCGTCAGTTTTGTACACTTAGAGTTGTTTTTGTTTTTTTAATTTCACTCGTTTGAACACGTGGGAATCAGTAATGCAGCCGAATAAAAAAAACAATATATTGGATACATTATTACTATGGCGTTTAATAGATTTAAATTTAGTTGCATTTCTATTTATAAAAAAAACTATTTAAAAAATAGAATGAAGTATTTAAAAATGTTTTTAATATAAACTATTTAAAAAGTATTTTCACACAAAAACAAAACATTCCAATTATAAAAAATAATAAATAAACTATTTAAAAAAAAAATAAAAAAATAATAAATAAACTATTTAAAAATATTTTCAAAGAAAACATTCCTATTATAAAAAGTTTTATTGGAAAAAAGATTCCAATGAAAAAAAAAAAAAAAAGGTTTTATTTGAATGGGATTCCTAACCTTCGCCTTTGCGATTTTCCGATTCCCGATTCGGATTAATCGTCCCAACACTAATATATATATGTTTATATATATATATATATATATATATATATATATATATTAATATACTTATTTTACATAAATATATATATATATATATATATATATATATATATATATATATATATATATATATATATATATATATATATATATATACACTAGTACATATATATATATATACACACTAATACTTATTTTATATATATATACTTATAATACACTTATTTATATATATATATATATATATATATATATATATATATATATATATATATATATATATATATATATATATATATATATATACACACATCTAATCCTAATGTCAGCTATCAATTATAAAATTAATTATAGTCATCAAATTCACATAAACACGCTACGATCTGTGCTTTACTGCAATTAGGAGTAGGAACCCAGCACCCCCCAATAAAACTTCTAAAAATCGACATCGAAAATTAAAAAAAATGTTTTTAATACTAAGAGCGGGAACTTAGCACCTATTTAAAACAAAAGGATAAGGAACCTAGATCCCCCCCCACTAGAGTAAATATCTATTTAAAAATATTTATTTTAAAATATTGAGGTGTGTGTGGGGGGGACTTAGCCCTATTTTAAACTAGAGGGATGGGAGCTTAGACCCATCCTCGAACGGTCATAATTTTCTGTTGTCGAATTGCCATTTTTTCCTATTTATCCACTTTTGCCATTTTACCGTTGCCATTTTTACCGTTGCCATTTTTATATATATATATATATATATATATATATATATATATCGCAGAATATATATATATATATATATATATATCGATCTACTCGTATGCCTCGATTGATGTCTCTACATGTTTGGCATTTTTGAGGTCATTGCATGGATCTTACCTGAGAGAAAGAGAAACGGGGAGAGAGTGGGACAGACATAGAGGGAGACTCAGAATGAGAGTGAGAGAGAGAGAGAGAGAGAGAGAGAGAGAGAGTGTGTGTGTGTGTATGTTTGCGTGTGTGTGTGTGTATGTTTGCGTGTGTGTGTGTGTGTTACATTGAATATACGTGTATATGTTATAACAATGGTGATCTCATAGTTTCGGACTCCTCACCGAAGACGATTAGTCATGTGGGACCAAACTTTCGTTAGTGAGAAATGATAAATACATCCCTTGTTCAGCCACGGAAAAGTGAAAGCAGAAATGAGAAAAAAAAAAAAAAAAAAAAATTCATAAGATTAAACATTTTGCCGAAAATTCAAAATCAATGTTTTTCTCCAACTATGGCGTCGATGGGTCCTACTGATTCTGCGCGGCTCACGCGCACAGGAAACCAGACCGCCACCCTGAAACACCAAGTGGAGGCCACGTTTTTGAATGACGCAGAATGAGCTGTCGGACTTCAAAACCCTAAACGAAGATAGGTCAGAGGTAACAAACGTGACCTCGTCTTAGATCGAGGGATTTGAAACTCTGTCGGTGTCATCGTTGAGCTGTTACCTCTCCGTCAGCTTTTGGGATACTCACGGGCGGCGGGACGTGCACTAGATCCTAGTGATAAGGCTTCGTCGAATTTAACGATCAAAACAAAAAGAAACATGGCGCCAAATGCCAGGAAGGATTAATCGCCATTTTTTTTTCTCTAATTGATGGGATATTCCTTTGGACGTCCATTACTCATCACCTGTCACAGAGCCACAGGGATTAGATTTGAAGGCAGAAAAGACGGGGTGAATTTGATGAACATTTTCGTTTTTGGACTTTATTCAGAAAATAGGGGGATAAAAAAAAAAAGAAAGAAAAAAGATAAAGAAAGAAGATCATACAGTTCCTGGTACTGAAGCAAATCTATCTATCTATCTATCTATCTATTTTAGCCTGTTCATTATGTATGTATTTATTTATCTATTTCAGCGTGTTCATTATCTATCTATCTATCTATCTATCTATCTATTTCTGCCTGTTCCTTATCTATCTATCTATCTATCTATCTATCTATCTATCTATCTATCTATCTATCTATCTATCTCCGACTGTTCATTATGGTTCTATTTATTTATCTATTTCAGCGTGTTCATTATCTATCTATCTATCTATCTATCTATCTATCTATCTATCTATCTATCTATCACAACCTGTTCATTATCTATCTATCTATCTATCTATCTATCTATCTATTTTAAGTGTTTTCCTTATCTATCTATCTATCTATCTATCTATCTATCTATCTCAGACTGTCCATTATGGATCTATTTATCTATCTATTTCAGCGTGTTCATTATCTATCTATCTATCTATCTATCTATCTATCTATCTATCTATATCTATCTATCTATCTCAAACTGTTCATTATCTATCTATCTATCTATCTACCTATCTATTTTGAGTGTTTTCCTTATCTATCTATCTATCTATCTATCTATCTATCTATCTATCTATCTATCTATGTGTGCGTGGTTAGAACGTTAGGTTTCCTACCATGAAACCCGAGTTCAAATCTCACTATGGTCGATCTGTCTGGAAGGAGACTTCCTGATCTTATCGACCGGGGGAGAGTCGACCCCAGCATACAACACGTTTAGAGGTGTAAAAAAACATACCTCGGGCTGACCCAAACCTTGAGAGCCAAACTGTGTAGGCGGAAGCATTCGCAATCGTAATCTGCCGCATATACCGGCCGATAGATGCTTAAAATAAAATAGGGGTGTCTATTACAAACACGGCTATCCACTAACAAGTAATATTTAAGAATGGATTCTTCATTTATTTCGCCGACATATTTTAATTATATTATATTATTATTATAATTTAGAATATTATATAATATATTATCTATAATATATATATATATATATATATATATATATATATATATATATATATATATATATATATATATATATATATATTATATATATAATATATATATATATATATATTTATATATATATATATTTATATATATAATATATTATATACATCATATATTATATAATATATATATGATAGAATATATACATATATTTATATATATATATATATATATATAATATATTATATAATATATATATATATAATATATTTATAATATATTATATATAATATATATATTATATATAATATATTTACAATATATTATATATATTATATATATATATATAATATATTATATATGATATATATATATATATAATATATTTATATATATAATATATTATATATAATATATTATATAATGTATATATATTATATAATATATATTATATACAATATATTTATATATATAATATATATATATAATATATTATATAATATGTATATTATATATAATATATTTATATATATATAATATATTATATAATATATATATTATGTATAATATATTTATAATATATTATGTATATAATATATTATAAAATATATATTATATATACTATATATATAATATTATATATTATATATAATATATTATAATATTATTATAATTACATTATATTATTTTAATTACAATTTCAATTTATTGCTTAAATTTATTTTTAATGGATATTCATATTCGAGTATGCTTCGTTTATTTATAAAACTGTATATTTATTTATTTCCACCTACCGGCCTGAATATTGAAGAAATCTTATTAGAAAAAATGCCTGGCATGAATTGAACCTATGTTTCCCTGGGGAAGACCATCTTTCGATTTGATGTGCTTCTGTCTTCACCACAAAGAACCTACTAGTCAGATCAAAGTCTGCATAGTGCTTTTGAACATGGTATCCATAAATAATAAAATTTAAGCAATAAATTAAATGATGTTGGATTAATAAATGCAAAATCCATTCCTAAAAATTCTATCAAACTCAGGAGAAATGTATATTTCAAGTATTGAGAAAGGTCAGGGTTCATAAGCTCTATTCAGACTTTGCTTTCGCCGGGAAGTTCTTACATATATATATATATATATATATATATATATGTATATATATATATATATATATATATATATATATATACGTGTGTGTGTGTGTGTGTAAAATATTATAATGAGTACAGACAATCCTTAAAAATCCATTTGTTTAAAATTTATTTCATGAACAGGCAAATATAATATAATAAATATTTCCACTAAATATAATAATTAAGATGGCCGCGATATCTCGTCTGATGTTTCTGCTATATATCTTGAAATTCTAGACAAAATCAAAAGAAGTGTCTCTAATTTTATCGGTCCTGACCTGGCATCTCAACTTCAATTACTTTCCCATTTGCCGTGGCGTAGTTTCGTTCTGTCTTTTCTATAAATACTTTCATGACGCTTGTTATCATGAACTCTTCTTTTATCGCTTCAACTACAGATAAAATGTACTGTTGGTCATTTTCCTATAAATATACAGGGTGGTCCAAAAGTAGGTGGACTGTATGTGGAATAGGTTGATGTATCGGTTATATTATTACAACTGAGTATCTTGATGAAACATTTCCTGAAAAATGGATTGGCCGAAGAGGTTCAATTTATTGGTCAGCATGTTTACCAGACTTGACCACAATGGATTTCTTCTTTTGGGGAGTACTCAAGGACAAAGTTTATAGTCGAAAACCAAGAAGTGTCGGTGATTTGAAAAATTACATAAGAGATGCATTTCAAGAAATTAATACCCAAAAAGACTTGTGCAAAAAAGTTTGTCGAAGCGTTAGAGGTAGACTTCAAGGCTGTGTGATGGAAAACAGTTTGAGAACCTGCGCTGATAAAATTTAAGTGCTTTTGTATTATTGTTCACAATAAAATTTAAGGTTTTTTGTATTATTGTTCACAATAAAATTTAAGGGATTTTGTATAATTGTTCCCAATAAAATTTAAGGGTTTTTGTATTGTTCACAATAAAAGTTAAGGGCTTTTGTATTATTGTTCACAATAAAATTGAAGGACTTTTGTATTATTGTTCACAATAAAATTTAAGGGATTTTTTATTATTGTTCACAATAAAAGTTAAGGGCTTTTGTATTATTGTTCACAATAAAATTTGAGGTCTTTTGTATTATTGTTCACAATAAAATTTAATTGTCAATGTAATAATTGTTTTAGTAAATATAATTGTATTTATATGTAATCCCAAAATAAATGTAATTATTTACTGTCCACCTACTTTTGGACCACCCTGTATATTGTTGGTCATATGTATGCTGCCTTTAAAAAGATATTGTTAGTTATTCTACTATATGTATCGTTGGTAACATTTGGGGTTTGGTTTAGTTTGTTTTACGGTATATCAGCCTCAATGGGTTATTTAATGCCAACAAGATTTTTATTGCTGGTAATATTTTTTTCAAAAACGATTTCTGGTTATATTTTTACCAAAAACGTATTGCTAGTAATAATGTATTGCTGGTAATAATATTTTCATAAAAAAATTATTGCTGGTAATATATTTTACAAAAATGTATTGATGGTATTAAAATCTATTTTTACACGTTTTGATCCCAGTTTGGGAGTTAACTATTTGCCCATATCTGGGACCCTAACAGGTGCTGCCACCTCGGGTCTGGGTGGACCTGGGAATACCAGCAATTAAGAGGTGGTTCCACGCTCCTCAAAACTTCCCGATCAGAGGCAATTAAGAGGTAGCTTCTCAAAACTTCCTAATCAGAGGCCTTGCTGTCGGAAGTAGTTTATCTTCTTACCCAAGACACGGATGTAGTTTATCGTTATACCCGGGACTAGACTTTCTCTCCTGGAGGTGAGCATCAACCATGCCGACAGTAGGCAGGGAAGATACTTCTAACGTCTCCGACTGAACACTGAAATGTTGTCCACTAACTAAATCTAGACCGCTTCACGTTCAGAGTCAGCCGTTATATTTCCCGTATAGTCCCAAGAACTTCACTTCTTGACCTTTCTTGCGCTCATACAACACCACACGGTAACACACTACTTTATAGTCCTCTGACTCGAGGTGGTAGCACCTGTTAGGGTCCCAGCTATGGGCATAATAGTGAACCCCCTCTAAAGTGTTTCATAGAGTTTTCTTTAAACACTATGAAAGTATGAAAATATATTTTATAGTAAAAATACAAACAATAGGTTTTTATATAAAATTAAAAACAATACCTACTTATAGCAAAATGACCAACAATACATTTTTAAAGCAAAATGGTCAGCATTATATGTTATAGTTGAATAAGCAACAATAGATTTTATCTGTAGCTGAAGGCATACAACTGTGTTCAAAATATTTTAGATTTCGGCATTAAATAACCCATAGAGGTGTTGATATGCCGCTAAACAAAATCAACCAACCAAAAATACCAATTTAGAGAAAAATTAGCAACAATACATATTTAAATCAAAATTACCAAGAATATGTTTTATCTCTAGCTGAAGGCATACAACTGCGTTCAAAATATTTTAGATTTCGGCATTAAATAACCCATAGAGGTGTTGATATGTCGCTAAACAAAATCAACCAAGAATATCTATTTATAGTAAAATCACCAACAATATATATTTAAAGCAAATTTACCAAGAATATATTTTATTTTTAGTTGAAGGCATACAACTGCATTCAAAATATTTTAGATTTCGGCATTAAATAACCCATAGAGGTGTTGATATGCCGCTAAACAAAATCAACCAACCAACAATATCTATTTATAGTAAAATTACGAAGAATTCATATTTAAATCAAAATTGTCAACAATATATTTTATCCGTAGTTGAAGGCATACAACTGCATTCAAAATATTTAGATTTCGGCATTAAATGACCCATAAATGTTGATATGCCGCCAAACAAAATCAACTAATCTTTACCTTGAGTGGCACTTGGGCCTTGTACTGGATGGGCGATAGTAAAAAGAAAGAAGGGAAACTTCAGGAACTCGTAGAGAAGGCAGTAAAGGATAGCGTGAAGAAAGAACGAACCGCCAATTAAAACAAGAGAGTATATAGATTTATCAGCAATAGAAAATGTCCAAAATGTGAGGTACGAATTGGAAATGCCAAAACCAGATAAGGACGAAAACTTAAATCTTTGGGGAATGTTTTAATTGGGGATGGAAAGTGTAAAAACGAAATCCAAAAGCTTATTTGCTATGATAAAAGATGTCTTCCAGAAACTAAGCAAAGTATTAAGAAAAAAGAAAAATCCCGTTAGAAACAAAGAAAAGACGGCTGAAATTTCTACATAACATTAGTCCTCCTCTAGTAAGAGAGAAATCCAGACAATCTCCTCACAGCGACATGAGGCAACAGAGATGTGATTCTACAGGAGGATACTGGGAATATCACGGACGGTGCGTATAAGCAACGAGGAAGCTTCAAGGAAAATGGAAAGAAAAATGTCACTAATACTTTAGAACCGGAAAGAGAAATCTCCGGCGCACATAACGAGGAAAGAAGGCTCAGAAAATTTGACACTCACAAGACATATTGAAGGCGAGCGTAAGTGATTGAATCCTAGACCGGTAGAAAGAGCTAGTGTAAATGGATGGCAGAACAGGGAAAGAGGGGAATAGAAAAAAAGACAAACATTGCTCACAGCCAGAAAGAAAAGGAAGTCGTGGAAAGCCATTATCACTCACGCCCTGAAGTGACATGTCACATAGGAAAAGAAAATTAGGAGAGATGGAATTTTTTTTTTCGTGATTACGGGCGAATGGGAATGTGATGAGTGACTTGAGGGATGTTTTTTGCCGAGTGTAAGGGCGGGGGGAGATTTACAGAGGGTCATGCTAGCAATTTGTTTCCAATTGACCTTTGACATTAACTTCTGGCGAATTAGATTTGTTTTCTTTAGTTTGGTGCCTCCAACCCCAAAATGTATTTTTTATTATTGTTAGAACGTTGATGATCATGGCTCTCCACAATTTCCTGTAATTTGTAGCAGATGATAAATTTCTTTTGTCTTTTTTCTTATCTATCTTAAACCTTCTCCCGTAATCCATTTATTCAGGCCCGGTATCTGGGTCTTGTGCCCCCCACCCCACCGAATCTATGATATGGGGCCGCCCGAATTTATGATAAAGCCCCTCTCTACTTAATCTCACTTAAGATTAAGTACCTCCATTAATTCGGTATATATTTTCGATACGTAAGGTTTAAAATGATTTTTTTTAAAATGAAAAAGCGTTCTTGAAGATTTCATTTTAGGTTTAATTGAAAGCTAAATGATTAAATTTACCATTTCAAGTAATTCAGATATTCTGCTGTATTTCAAATAGAAATTATAAAGATCGGAATCTCAACTTTTTGGTCGATGTCAGAAAATCTTACAAGCGGCCATTTTCTTAATTTTTAAGAAATTTGTAAACAAAAGAAAATTATCGGTTTTAAAAATCTTCCAAAAATAAAATATATATTTGTGACATGTTATTTGAGTAAAATTAGCAAATTTAAATTTAAATTAATCTGATTTGAAATAAACATTACTTACTTATATCATAAAAAAGTAATATACAAGCATTTCTTAACGGCGGTTCCTGTTTTTCTTTTATCTTTATCGATAAGCTCTGAGGTGATGACAGCTAGTATGGATGATCAGAATTGACATAAATCTAAGTGAACGCATTTTTTGGGCTTTTTACCTACCTAGTAATTTAAAAAAGAGTAACATATTTTCAGCAATTATCTAATATTTTATTGACTTTTAGTTACGTTTGAAGATGCTTTATGAAAAAAGAATAAAATTTAAAGTACTATAAAATTTTCTTAAATAAATTTTAAAATTTAATAACAGATGAAATCAAATTAAAGATAAGTAAGCAAGAAAATTAACACGTTTATCTGTAAATTGTGTTATAATAATTAAAATATTCTATAATCATTAATAGTTAATAAACTTTAACATTAGCTAAAAACATTTTTTTCTATTTTCTTCAATCCCAAAATTGTGAACACTCGCTGTTGAAATCTATTCAAAATTAATAAAAAAATGAGAAAACTAATTTCAAATATGAATGAAATAAAGTTTAAAATAATTAAATTGATTAAAACTTAATTTTAAAATTAAATAAAACGTCTTTAACTGTCATTAAAAGGAATAAACTGAAAAAATTTTGTTTCTTATTAAAAAATTTTAAAGTAAAAAAAAATTTCGAATGTTTTAATAAGGTTTAAAACTTAAAAAATAATTAAAAAATATTTTGGTCTTTCCCCTTAATAATAAAATAAACATTTTGACTATAAAACTTTGTTTTTATTAAGTTTGTGGCCTTTTGTTTGTCATGCTATGCTGTTTTTCAGCGAACAAGTAGAGGTACGTAACTAAGACAATATTCATATAAAACACAAATTTTATTGTAACCTAATTATGTAAAATAATGGATCATCTACAATATAGGTAAACAATTCAACTAGAAAAACTGATTTATTGAAAATCAGATCATTCTATCTTAAATAAATTAATGATGTTTTGTGGCAATATTTAATATCAACTTGAGATTTTTCTTGTTAAAAAATTGAATAATTTTAACACATTCAACATTATCGTTTAAAATACTGAATTTTATATCGTGTTTTTTTTTGGGGGGGGGACTTAGCATGAATAAAACAAATTCACCGATTTGGCTGGAAAAAAACCCCAGAATGACGTCAAAATCTGTAAAAAATTTTCATCCTTTAATAATCAGTTGTGCTTAGTTTGATTTGTAACGTATATAAATAGAGCTAGACAAAAGCACATGTTGATAAACCAGCGAGAGTCACAAAGCACTGCCCGGAGCCCCAGTCCTATTATAATTGTGCTTGTCCCTCCCTTCATTAGTTCGCACGACCGTTACGCCCTGCCAATACCTCATAAATAATGGACCATTCTGTTATGCTCGCGTGTAAATAGGGGACAAGACACCGTTTTCAGAGAAAAATGAAAGAAAGGAAGGAAGGAAGGAAGAAAGAAAGAAAGAAGAAAGAAAGGAAGGAATATAGAAGTGAAGAAAGAGAATAAGACTAACCTGAAAAGAACAGATAATACACTTTGATCTTAGCCAAAAGGCCTAGAGGTGACGGCGACCGTGATAAATGTGCCATTTTTCAGACGCACAATCGAACGACGGAAACCGAGTAAGGCAACTGCTAAAAATTCAGTTTCCATAAATAAAGTAACATCGTCTACTGAATTGTTTTTAAATCGTTATTAAGAGAAAAGTTCGTAAGACGGGGATTTGGCTTGTAATAATAATGACATCAACAACAACATCAACAACAATAATAATAACAACAACGACAACAATAATAATAATAATAACGTATGGTTAGTGTAACGAATATCGTCACGTTCACTTTCGCACTAAAACCCTTTAGAAAAGCATGAAACTGCATTTCCCCAGTTACGGGTTAAATATCAGCGCACATCTCCAATATTTGCATAGATTTCTTTTGAAGAGAGATTGACCCTTCCGTTGACACCGCCAATTTGGATATCAGAGAACAAAGAATAAATCGCTGGACTTGTATACCATATGGCAGTGGATGGTGGACAATTTTCCTCACAGATGAAGAGAAGACTTCGTGTTACGAATGTGGTTCTATTGACAGGAATGGCACAGATATAGCATGTGAATGGCACATGGGGCTTAAGGAAAATGGCGACAACAAGGAAATTTATAATTAGAATCAGAAAGAGACTGATGGAATTTATAGTGCGCATGAGGCGGAAAGAAGACCAAGAGAATTTAACACTCTCTAGGCATAAGAAATGGTCGCGTTTTTTTTTTTTTTTTTTTTTTTTTTAGGAATGGTTTGCCCATCCGGCAACGTGAGGCTAGCGATATGTCGACCAGTTGCATTTTGAAGTCATATTCGTTCTTTTTAACCTAGACCTAACAACCAAAGCTTGATATATATATATATATATATATATATATATATATATATATATATATGTATATGTATATGTGTGTGGGGGGTGTACTGGGTGTAACAGCAAATTGTTCAAACTGTGTAACAGTATGTAATAATTGTCCATCTCACAAAATGTTTAATATCTAAAAAGAATCAAAACAAAAAAAAAAAAAACTAAACTAATTGAGTTTCTTTTCCCCAGATTTCAGAGAAGACGTTTAGCCATCTTGACACCATTTGTCGTAAGAGTCAATGGAAAAAACCCTTTGAGTTATTCAGTTAGAAATAGAACAGGTTATGTTCCCAAATGAGCATTGGTGAGAGGAAAAAGATCATTTAGGCCTTCAGTAATGGTACCAATATTCATACTCTGGCTTCCATCTTCAAATTCCATTCAAGAGCCATCAACACACACACACATATATATATATATATATATATATATGTGTGTGTGTGTGTGTGTGTGTGTATTATAATTATTTTAAAAAAATATGATTACTTCGCTACATAAGAGTTCTCATGTTTCAAAAACGAGAGCCGAAACCAATTTTGAAATTTACGTATCGTTACAAACGTGTTCATTCGTTACTATGGAAACGGCTGGGCGACCATTTTTTTATCTACATATCAGTATATATATATATATATATATATATATATATATATATATATATATACATATGTGTGGTTCACAATGTATAAGGCCCTGGATCCACTCGTGGTAGAAGGTTACAAAGTAAGGGGCAGCTTATGGAGATATGTTGGGAAGATAACTGTTAACCCTACATTTGAACAGGCTAAGATCGTAGTGATCGAGGAAGCATCCTCTTGGGAGCCGGTTCCACAGAGCAGCGTTTTGCCAGAAGAAGCTGCACGAGTGGGACCTACATCAGACAAATGGAATACGAACCGAATGATGGTGGTCTCGACAATGTGCGTAGAATGGCAGGTTCTAGCCATGAAGGGTGGGACAAGAGGAACTAAGGAAGGTACCTTGTCTGTGCGCTTTCTATGGAAATAGCAATAGAGCAGTGAGAGGCTTGTGTAGTCTCGTCTGTGGGAGAACAGTTTGTAAGGGGGGTGGGGGAAATAATTTGTCCCCCGCAAGGACTCGGAGAGGCCTTTGGACTCTATCAAGACTGGAACGTGAAGCTTGGGCATCTCCTATCCGTATATGGCAGCAATACGCCATTTTGTAAAGGTAGAGGATATCAGGAGGAGTTAGGTGTTTACTAGAGCGGTACAAAAGACCATTTAACCAGCATCCTTTAGTGATAGATCGTATGTGCGAGCTCCATTTGAGATCTAGGTTGAGTTTAACACGCCTCATTTCCCTTATTGTCCCAGGATTCTAACATTATATCTTAATTAATTTTGATACAAGCGGCTTTATTTTAACATTAGACAATGATATCATAGGTAGTATCTATTATCCACGCCCCACCGGTGTGCCATTCGGTACCTGAGTCCATTTTACAACGCACAGTCCCACACGACCCATCCATGAGTCGTTGTAAAATTCCCAATATAGAAGGTTATCGGGTTATATCGGACTCGACGTACGGCGTTTCGTGGTTACGACGCCATCTCCCATAATATAACACGTCGTCACACGGCGCTATACGAGGAAGACGGCGTTGTTTCTTCACCGGATGTAGGCCATATTGGATTGTGCTACATTCGCTATCTCTCATTTGTGTCGTTATTTTAGGAACTTTTTGCCTTTTCTTATGGCTCCCAAGCGTAAGCCAGACTCGTGGAAGCTTATGTAGGGGTGTCCCGACCTGCTTTGAAAATCAGGTTATGTCGCGCCGTAAGAACGGATCTCCGACGTAAGTCGAGGAAACCCTGTATGCAAGTATTATACACTGACACTAATTCTTATTTTCTATATTCCAAAATATTTAATTTTTTTCTCTTTGGAAAAAATATGGTTCTGGTGTACCAGAAGCAATTAATCTTAACCTCTCACTACGAATAATCCTCATAGAAAAGCAATTGGATAACAATCTAAAAGAGGGTCGTGTCGGTCTTACATACATAGCAGCACGACCCTCCGGTTGGTCGTGTGGGAACCAACGTGTTAAGGCCCAATAGACACTCAAGACATGGAACCTTCCTGAGGGAACATCCATTCTCTTCGTGACAAGCAAGGAGGCCAACTCTGCCCTAGCTGTGTATACTGTCTCACTATCTCCAGATTTGATAGCCCGATTTACTCTAGATTCAACAGCCGTTTGTGCAGGTAATCTACCAATCTTATAGTGCACGCTGATTGGTTAACTGCTTAAGACATAGTCTATGAAAGAGAGGCTATTTTAAGTACGATGATAAGAGTTCGAATCTCTTCGGCATCTTTTTTCATCATTTTTTGCTTTCACGCGGAGTCCTTTAATGAGCGGCCCAAAAAGATAGCAGCAGAAAATGACGTAGGAAAACTTGTTAAAATACTTCATTTTGTTAGAAAATAGTTGAAACTTTGTGGCCTCGCCAGTCGTTCTTCAGACGTGGAATTTTCTCGTCAGAACACCCCACTACTCACTTCAACCGAAAACGTGTCCCATCTCTGGTTGCCCGTCATCGATTGTTTTGGCAATGGGGACGACTGCTGGGCAAATGACCCTCAAAGGTCGAGAAACCTATTATGCGGTCTTTCTAATGGAGCATCATTTGGGCTTTCCGAACAAATTCTGTCTTTAATGCTTATTTGACCTTTTTGGGATGATGAGAACGTCCCCCTCTTCCGATCCAGTTGAAGGGTGTGGATCATGAAATCAAAATATCATTCCGAAATATAGGTACAGTGTCGATGTTTACATGGGAAGGGTAAAACGGAGATAGATAGATAGATAGATAGATAGATAGATAGATAGATATGCACAGACAGAGATAGATAGATAGATAGATAGATAGATAGATAGATAGATAGATAGATAATGAACAGACTGAGATAGATAGACAGACAGATAGATATGAATAGACTGAGATAAACATGAACATATCGAAGCAGCTAGACATGAAGAGACAGTGTTAGATATTAACAAATTGAGCTAGCATAGCTAGATATGCACAAACTGAGAGAGATATTAACAGTGAGACAGATAGATAGACACATAGATATATATTCACAAACTGAGATTGATAGATATGCACAGACTGAGATAGATAGATGGATAGATAGATATGAAAGGACTGAAATAGATATATATATATATATATGAAGAGATTGAAACAGACAGACAGATAGATAGATAGATATGAATAGACTGAGATAAATATGAACATACTGAGACAGCTAGACATGAAGAGACAGTGATAGATATTAACAAATTGAGCTAGCTAGCTAGATAGATAGATAAATATGCACAAACTGAGATAGATAGATAGATAGATATAAACAAACTGAGAGATATTAACAGTGAGATAGATAGATAGATATGCACATAGATAGATAGATAGATAGATATGCACAAACTGAGATAGATAGACAGACAGACAGACAGAAAGATAGATAGATAGATAGATATACACAAACTGAAATAGATATTAATAGACTGCGATAGATAAACAGACACAGATAGATAGATAGATAGATAGATAGATAGATAGATATGAACAGACTGAGATAGATAGATAGATAGATAGATAGATAGATATATAGATAGATAGATAGATAGATAGATAGATATGAAGAAATTGAAATAGATAGACAGATAGATAAATAGATATGAATAGACTGAGATAAATATGAACATGGATGGATATTAACAAATTGAGCTAGATAGATAGATAGATAAATATGCACAAACTGAGAGAGATAACAGTGAGATAGATAGATAGACACATAGATAGATAAGCACAGACTGAGATAGATAGACAGACAGACAGACAGAGAGACAAACAGACAGATAGATAGATAGATAGATAGATAGATAGATAGATAGACAGATAGATAGATAGATATGCACAAACTGAAATAGATATTAATAGACTGAGATAGATAGATAGATAGATAGATAGATATGCACAGACTGAGATAGATAGATATGCACAGACTGAGATAGATAGATAGATAGATAGATAGATAGATAGATAGATGGGAGAAGAAGAGGTGGATTCGTACCTCCTTTCCGCAGTGTATTTGCGCGTAATGGACTGTAACAAACCCGACTGGAATTGGAAGTCGGTTCTTCGATTAAAAATTATCCATTAGACCACCTACACTTCCAAGCTTACATCACCTGGTATTCCCAAGCGGTCACCCATCTAGATACTGACCAGTATCGACGTTGATTAACTTGGGCGATTGCACGGGAACCGGTGTTTCACCGTGATGTGGTCATAAGTCAATAGAAGACAGAGCTACATAAATGCCTGGCAAGGCAAAAATAAACACGTGTACTGATCATTGCTCAAGACAGGAAACTGCCAGTCACCTTGTTATATTGATCTCTGTGTCCAAACTGTTCTCTCTCTCTCACACACATACGCACACATACACAATATCTACAAACGACAGTTCACATTTTCAATATACAAAATAAATACATATTGGAATGTAAACGTTTGCTTGTTAAATGTGAACAACTTCTATCTGCGCAATTAGCGTTAAAACTGCTTCATTATGCGCATTTATGATGAAAACTGACTCATTCTACGTATTGAAGATGAAAATTGCTTTTAGCATGAAAACTGCTTCAACCTGTGCATTTAAAATGAAAACTGCTTCGTTCTGCGCCTTTATAGGGAAAACTGAACTGTTCTGCGCAATTAATACGAAATCTAGTTAATTCTGCGCATTTAAGATAAAAACTGCTCAATTCTGATCATTTAAGATCAAAACTGCTTCATTCTGCGCAGTTACGAGGAAAACTAGTTCATTTTGCGCATTTAGGAGTAAAACTATTTCCTTCTGCCCAGTTATGAAGGAAACTGTTTCATTCTGCGCATTTAAGAGGAAACCTTCTTCATTCAACGCAGGAAATCTCGTTCATTTTGTGCATTTAGGGTGAATACTGCTTCATTCTTTGCGTCTTGGGGATAGCTCGAAGAGCGTGAGGGCCTTGATGAGGAGGAACAGTGGTTCCAGCAGGATGGTACTCCTCCTCACATTGCTAATGTTACCATGGCATGGCGCCGTGAAACGTTTTGGGAGCGTCTTATCAGCCGCAAAGCTGAAGTGGAATAGGCACCTCACGAAACTAATCGGAACCCACCAAATTTTCTCCTTTCAAGGAGAGAATCTAGAAGGGCAACCCTCGTACGATTGCTGTATTGAAATCAGCCATTACTGAGAAGATTCAAGGAATCACCCAAGAGGAATGTGCATGCGTTATCAATAACATATATATATATATATATATTGATGCATTCAACAGCGCCTTCAACTGAACGACGAACATCTGGAGCATTTACTCTAGGGATTTTCTTGACATCTTTCGGTTTGAGTTTGAGACTAAATGCTTGCAGATCCTAAATTATTGTCCTTTTACCTTTCAATAAATGCCATCTCCATTATTCTATCACTTATGGTCCCTGATTTGTGCCTGATTATATTGTTTCAAAAATTGTGGAACACGCTGCGCATATATATATATATATATATATATATATATATATATATATATATATATATATATATATATATATATATATATATATATATATATATATATATATATTGATGCATGTTTCATCAAATAATATAGACAAGTTTTGTCTATTTATTTTAAGTAAGTTCCTTTCATATTGTCTGATAAGCTTAATAACATTATCATTGAAAGACGAAAGGAAATCACCATATTGATACATGTTTAAATCCAATCTAAGCTTTCGGCTTACATAAGCCATTATCAAAGATGACAATTACTTTTCAATATATCAACCAATACACGGACGAAACAGTAATGACAGTCTATTTTTGTTTTCGTGTATACGAGACGCGAAAGCTCGTGACGTCACGACCACGCGAGAGTGAAAATGAGAAGTATTAAGTATGGGAAGCCGTTGGTATAAACCAATGGCTTCTGTTATCAATTATAGGCTTTTAGAATATTTGTGGAGATTTCGTAGTTTATTTTTAGGCATTTAAAACAACATGCCTGGCCGCATACACAATTCCGGAAAATCCTTGTTGAAAACTCAACTATACTTAAACATGAAAACAATAAACAAAAACTAAAAATTCTTGAAGCTATATACATAAAACAGTTGAAACCTAACCTGAACAAAATAAAGATAAATTGTATCTATAAAAATAACGTATAAATAAATATATATATATATATATATATATATATATATATATATATAAATATATATATAAAATGACAAAATCGAAGAGATGCATTAGTAAAAAGAAGTCTTTATTCATATTGTTTTTTTTTACAGATATATCTTTGATTTACATCTGATTTTTTAAAGCACACACATATACATATTTTTTAACATATATCTATATGTAATCCATATATGGGACGCATCAAACACATCGACGTGGCCCAATGATAAGTAAGTTTGGCTTGCGAGATCTATTACGACTGAACAGTGAGTTCGATCCTCACTGGGTGCTCCATGCTTTAGGCCTTGTGCCACATCTACAATGAGTAAACCGCTATCATCTACAAATGAACTTTGTTTTATTTAATGAAGGATATATACATAATTAAAAAAACATTATGCCTCCAGTGAGATTTGAACTCACGACCCCTGGTTTACGAGACCAGTGCTCTAAACCTCTGAGCTATAGAGGCAGACATTTTGCTGGAGCCTGATTATTTTAGAAGTCTTAAAAGTGGTGTCGATAATGATCTGCCGTTGTACTTTTGATATTTTTGATTTTATCGACTGCACTATATAGTAGGGTCAGTTGGGCAACGTCTTTGAGAAAAAGAGCACCATGGCACAGTTCACTCTGCCAGAAATTTGGAAACAGCATGTTGCACTACTTTGCATTTATGCTGGAAGCACCAAAACCAACATTACAGAATGTCTGGGTGTCATTCTGAGGACAGTACAGAGGATTCGGAAAGAGGTGGATGAAACTAATGGTGATTATGAAGGTGTTTGGAGTGATCACAAGTGATGGCGATGTTATGTCTCCATTCATCTTCCCACAGTGTCTCAGATACAACATGGAGGCGTACATCAAATGCCTTAAGGAGATAGTACTGCCCTGTTTCAAGAGGGTGCTTGCTGGAAGACTCCGTGTCTGGCAACAGGAATCTTCACCATGCCACACAAGAATTAGAACCCAGTCATGGCTGTCAGACAATTTCTGCGACCACATCACCCTTCACATTTGGCCACTTAATTTCCCAGACCGCAAACCCCTTGATTATTATGTGTGGGGTGCAGTTGAGCGAGAGACTAACAAAACTCCTTGTAACAACAAAAAGTAACTGAAGGCGGCAGTTTTCACCAAGTTAAAGAAGGAGACCATTCAGAAGAGTTGCAGGAGATTCCGAAGACTTCTGTAGGCCGCAGTTGAAGCTAATGGCGATTTTATTGAATAAATTTACTCTTTGAGATTTCAAGATATTTTTTGTGCAATGTTTGGTAAATATATTTGTTAAAAGGAAACGTCAGTGATATTTTCATTGTTGCGTAATTTAGAAGACAAATTATCCATCGCACCCTGTATATCTGTTAAAATGAAAGGTCAGTGTTATTTTACTTTTGCATTGTTCTGACGACAATTTATCCATCGCACCTCGTACAAGGGCAGAGTGGTAGCCAGTCCAAATGTAGAAAAACTCCGAATTCAAAACCTGACGAGTGTTGTTTTTGTTATTCCGGCTTTTCCAAAAATTTCTGATTGGTTCGGTCTGGTTTGGTTTGTTTTACGGCTTATCAACCTCAATGGGTTATTTAATGGCGACAAGATTTTTATTGCTGGTAATATTTTTCTTCCTAAATGTATTGTTAGTAATTTTTTTCCAATTTTTTTTTGCCGGTATTAAAACCTATTTTTATACTTTCATAGCGTTTTGACACTTTGGGGGGGGTTAACTATTTGCCTATAGCTGGATCCCTAACAGGTGCTACCACTCTGGGTCAGGGTGGGGGTGGGGACACCAGCAATTAAGAGGTGGCTTCACGCTCCTCAAAACCTCTTAATCAGAGGTCCTGTTGCTGGGCCTAGTTTATCGTATTATCCAGGACGTGGGTGTAGTTTATCGTCATACCCGGGACAGAATTTATGGTTGATAAATGTAATTAATACTGTTTAATTAAAAAAGCACCCCACCAAAAAAAAAAACAGAGCATTTACTTAAATTGTCTCTATCAAAAAAAATTACGTATAAACAGAATATATATATATATATATATATATATATATATATATATATATATATATATATATATATATATATATATATATATATATATAGGGTGTTCATAAAGTTCGTGTGCATTACAAAAAATTGTGTTTGCGATAGAAATAATCTGTAAAAAATGTTATAAAGTTTAATGTACCTAGTTTTAAGTATAGCTAAAATAACTAATGTGATTTCAGGCATTACTGTAAATCAGGTGGCAAATCTTTTCCGTGAACTGCAAAATCGTATTACCCTTTGTATTGCTAATGATGGAGGACATGTGGAAACTTAAATAAAATTTCAATTAAAACTTTAAAAAAATATAGATTTACTTCTTCCTTTTTTTACAAATTATTTCTCTCGCAAACACAAAAAAGTTATAAATTTTTCAAAGTGCACACGAACCTATATATATATATATATATATATATATATATATATATATATATATATATATATATATATATATATATATATATATGTAAAGAAAAAGTGGAAAAGATTCACTGGTAAAGAAAAAGTTTTCCTTTAGTCTTTATTCATATTGTCTTTTTGCAGATATATCTTTTATTTACATCTGAATTTTTCAGATACACACACATACATATTTTTAATATATACCTATATATAACCAGAATATATGACACCTGGACGTGGTCCGATGATAAGTATGTTTGGCGTGCGAGAACTATTATGATTGAATAGTGAGTTCGGTCCTCATTGGGTGCTTCATACTTTAGACCTTTTGCCACATCTACATTGAGTAAAACGGGATCATCTCCAAATGAACTTTGTTTCATTTAATCAAGGAATATATTTAAAATTAAAAAGAACGTTATGCCTCCAGTGAGATTCGAACTCACGACCCCTGGTTTACGAGACCAGTGCTCTAAATCTCTGAGCTATAGAGGCAGACATGCGTCACGTACTTTATTATTTCGCAAGTCTATGGTGTCAATAATGATATATCGTTCTCCTTTATATACGGAAAAAGCAAATAAAAATCCTGATATGCAATTATGCTGTTTTAATGTTAATATAATGTCAACGTCGGACGTTTCGGTCTAGTAGACCATCTTCAGGACATATTCATAAAACATAATTAACATTAGACTATATTTAACATGAAACGACGATGACATAAGAGTAAGACTAATCAAAACAGACAACTGAAATTTTTCAAGATCAGCGTCGGCGTCACGTGGGCGATGTTGTGAAAACGTATTCCTAAAATACAGTATTTTGAATGAAAAATGAAAAGAATTTTATTTTAATCTAAAACTTATATGTACGTTTGTCGAGCATCAAACTTGCTAGAAAAGGGGAAATATTAAAGAATAAAATAAGAATAAAAATCTTAGACGGATTTATGAGGCAGGCAAAACATCTATCTCACGCGCAGTGAATACTAGACCTGTCTTCTTTAAATATAGTCTAATGTTAATTATGTTTTATGAATATGTCCTGAAGATGGTCTACTAGACAGAAACGTCCGACGTTGACATTTTATTAACATTATATTAACATTAAAACAGCATAATTGCATATTAGGATTTTGTTTTTTTTCCGTATATTTTTCTTCATACTGTCGGATCTATATCCATATATTTGCTTACACACACACACACACACACACACACACACACACATATATATATATATATATATATATATATATATATATATATATATATATATGTCTACACGTACGCAGAGAAAGGGCGCATAGTGGGTGCACGCGCGCGAACGCATACATGCACGCATACACTATGAAGAAAAATTATAATAAGGAAAAAGGCACATAAAAAAGAAAAGTCGGGACGTATAAGCTGTCAGTTGTTGATGCCCCTGACGAGTCGGTGGATTCATTACCGTAGGGTCGGGTTTACGAAACTCTGGAGTCAGGATGCTGAAGGAAACATCAAGCAGCCTTTTGTATTAATCCTTCCTCTCTCTCTCTCTCTCTCTCTCTCTCTCATTTCTCATATATATATATATATATATATATATATATATATATATATATATATATATAAATTGTCACCATTTCATATATTTAATTTGGCGCATCCAAGCTGTTTCGGATTTTGTCGGTTGCACAGTATAGTCGGGTCAGTTGGGCACCGTCTGTGAAAAAAAGATCATCATTACGCTATTCACTTCGCCAGAAATTTGGGAACGGCACGCTGTTCTGTTTGGCTTTCGCCGGAAGAACATTACGCAGTGTTTGGGTGTCAGTCTGAGGACAGTGCAGAGGATTCAGAAAGAGTTGGATGTGTCAAATGGTGATTACGAAGGTGTTATCCCTCCATCCATCTTTCCACGGTGCCCCAGACTCAACACGGGGGCCTACATCAAGGGCCTTGAGGAGGTAATACTACCCTGTGTCAAGAAGGTAGATGATGGAAGAATCTATGTCCAGCAACAGGATTCTGCACCATGCCACACAAGCAGGAGAACCCAATCATGGCTGTCAGACAATTTCAGCAACCACATCCCACCTTACATCTGGTTATCTAACTCCCCAGACTGCAACTCCCTCGACTATTATGCATATTTATGATACACATATATATATATATATATATATATATATATATATATATATATATATATATATGAAGAAATATAGTCTTAAGGTGTGGTATATTTATGGGATAAAGTGCTCAATATCAGAGATAGAGTGTGTAAATATAAAAGTGAACATTGAAGTCAACACTTGAGGGCGACAGTCTGTTTCATGCTAGACGCAATCGTCAGGCCACGATTGCGTCTAGCATGAAACAGACCGTCGCCTCTAAATGTTGATATCAATGTTCACTATATATATATATATATATATGTTTTTTGATTTTGTCTGTTACACAGTATAGTAGGGTCAGTTCGACAACGTCTATGAGAAAAAGAATACTATGACGCAATTCACTCCGCCAGAATTTTTGGAAACGGCATGCTGATCTTGACATTCACCCTGGAAGCACCAAACCGAAAATTTCGGAGTGTCTGGATGTCAATGCAGAGGATTCGGAAAGAATTGGATGAGTCTAATGGTGATTACGTGGGCGTTTAGTGTAATCACATGTGATGGTGACGTTATGCCTCCATTCATCTTCCCACAGGGCCTCAGATTCAAATTAGAGGCCTGCCTCAAGTGCCTTGTCTAGAGGGTGGCTGCTGGTGGAATCTATGTCTGGTAACAGGACGCTGCACCCTCACATCACCCCTTAAATCTAGCTCCCCAAACTGCAACTCCCTTGATTGTTATGTGTGGGAGCGCAGTTGAGCGAGAGACCAACAAAACCCCTTGTAACACCAAAGATGAGACCATTCAGAAGAGTTGCAGTAAATTTCTAAATCTTTTGTAGGCCGTAGTTGAAGCTAATGGCGGTTTTATTGAATGAATGTACTCTTTGGGATTTCAAGAGCTATTTGTGCCGTTTTGGTAAATATATCTGTTAAAATGAGATTCAGTGTTATCTTCATTCTTTTTTTTTTTTTTTTTTTTTGCGCCATGTAGACGACAATTTATCCATCGCACCTTGTATAAAAATTGACTGGATATAGCTTTGAGTGGAAGCCAGTCTAGATGTTTGTGAACCTTGTTCTAAAAGTTGTGGTTGATTTTGCACAAGACTTCACCACTTATCATATATGCAAGTAGTTTGGCTGTTCGGTTCTAACTTCTGAAGTACTTTACCCATATAATTTGAAAACACCAAGTTATTCCACTTGTATCTATCTATCTATCTATCTATCTATCTATCTATCTATCTATCTCAGTGTGTTCATATCTATCTATCTATCTATCTATCTATCTATCTATCTATCTATCTATCTGTGTTTATATCTATCTATCTATCTATCTATCTATCTATCTATCAAAGTGTGTTTATATCTATCTATCTATCTATCTAAGTGTGTTTCCATCTATCTATCTATCTATCTAAGTGTGTTTCTATTTATCTATCTATCTATTATATTATCATCTATCTCTATCTATCTATCTATCTATCTATCTATCTATCTATCTATCTATCTGTCCATTAACGTTTATCTGTTCTACTTGGTCCTATATATATATATATATATATATATATATATATGTTCGCCCCAAAATGGTCCTACCATGATAAAATGTCCCAAACTTCGTAAAAACAAAGTCTTATCGTCAAAATCTTTATGATATAAATAAGAGGAAAGACCAAATGTATTTTTGATTATTAAATCATATTTTGTTCCCTTTTAGAAAGTTTGAAATATTGATTTAAATTTTGTTTTTCTTGCCTCAGCGGGCGACCATAAATAAGTATAGGAAATCTTAGCGCCTTTTTGTGGTAAAAAGAAAAATATTGATTTGGAAATTCTCGCCCAAATCAAATAATTGTCGGATTTTAATGAAACTTTGAGGATATATTCACAAATGAATTAAATTATTTTAGAAATGTTTCTTTTGTTTTAGAAAATCTTGGTAAAAAGTTTTTTTTTTACATCCCTCACTCCATTTAATTTTAAGAAATTTCGAAGAATTTTGCCCAGTTTAATGTTTATATTGATTATAAGCAGAATTCCTTGGAGAATTTAAATCATTCACTTTTTTGTAAAACAGTAGCCCCAAAAATCTGCTCTGAATCGTAAAACTAAGATATTATTTCATTAGGAAAGCTTTTAATTGCTTATATGAATGAGATATATTATAGATAATTGTTTTCGACAAATAATTAATTTTTACAAGAATTGTTTCAATTTTTTATTAAATTTTAATTAGAATAATATATATAATTTTAAATCTTTAAAATTCTTTATGAATTTTTACGGGTTAGATGATACTATTATTAAGTAAAAAATATATTTACTAATCATAAATACAAAATCTTACTACAATTCAGCGAACTTAGTATTTTAAAAAAGAATTTTCAATTTTTGTGTGTGTGTGTCAACGTTCCGATTTTTGTAAATATGGATGTCCATACACGACATCATCAGAAAATAAGAGCGGCAATTATAGTAAATTTAAAGCCTAAAATCCAATAAGATATTACATTGCGGATAAGATTTTCTTAATTTTTTTAGATTACTGGGTAGTTAAAAATTATATAAAGAAGGCACTTACATTATATACGTCAAGTACTTTCTACAGATATATCCTCCGTAGAAAAAATCAATTAAATCCTTCTGTCAATAAAGCTTTCAACACCTTAAATAAAAACCAACCTCTGTATTAATAAATACATTTCTGTGTTGCTTTAAATTAAAAGTAAGTAATATTTGTTTCAAATCGGATTTAATAAACTTTAAATCAGCTAATATACCTTAAATAAAGTTTCAGAAAATTATATTTCATTTTTTAAAGAATTTTCATGACGAGAATTACATTGTGTTAACAGATGGCTAAAAATGGCTAAAATCGGCGATTTTGCTGATTTCAAAACGAAAACTTCCAATCTATTTAAATTAAGTTTGAAATACAGCAAAGTATTTTGCTTACTGGAAATGTTAAATTTAATCTATTAGCTTGAAATTAAAACTAAAATAAAAGCTTCAAGAATTTTCATTGTTAAAATTCATTTTAAACAATAGTTATTGCGTTTCTTTGGAGGTAAATATATACAAGATGTCCATAAAGATCGTGTGCACTTTAAAAAATTTATAATTTTATTTGTATTTGCGATAGAAATAATCTGTAAAAAATGTTATAAAGTTTAATGTACGTAGTTTTAAGTATAGCTAAAATAACTAATGTGATTTCAGGCATCACTGTAAATCAGGTGGCAAATGTTTTCCGTGAACTGCAAAATCGTATTACCTTTTGTATTGCTAATGATGGAGGACTTGTGGAAACTTAAATAAAATTTCAATAAAACCTTAAAAAATATAGATTTACTTCTTTCTAATCCTTTTTTTACAAATTATTTCTATCGCAAATACAAATAAAATTATAATTTTTTTAAAGTGCACATAAACTTTATGGACACACTCTATAATTATGGTAATAATATAAATTAATAAGGACTATTTAAATAAGTAGAATTTACTCGAATTGCTAAAGTCTAAAGCATTTAAAGGCAAACATTTTGTTATGAAAATTATTAAAAAATATAGCAACTGGAGTTAATCGACAAAGAAACTTTGAAAGGAGATAAAGTCTCTTTAACTTTTATTTTATTAATAAAGTTTCTAAGGGCATTTCCATCCGTACAAACTGTTGTGGAGTTATTTCGCAGTGGAGGCTTGTATTTGTACTAAGTCGGTCCTAAAATAGGTTCGACGTACAAAACGTTAGGAACTTAATATAATAGGTATTACGCAGAGTAATCTTGTTGAGGTCGCTGAATACTTTCGTATTCGACTAACTGTCGACTATTGTCATCCGACATCGACTAGTATTTAGTCACCCCCCCCACGAGGGTATCATGTGGCACAAGGCCGGTTTAACGTGGGATCTCCGAGCCCGTGGGCCCGGCCAAAAATATATCCTTTGAGCCCGTATAAACGGGTTCAGGGTCGGTTTACCTACCCGAACGAGACTCCGCTCTTTCGCAGAGCCTCATTCTGGTTCCTCCCCTCCCGAAGGCAGAGAGTTCAACCGTTCAGCCAGTCGTCCGACGTCGACTAACCGTCGTTTCTCTTACTACTCTTACTTATATTAGGTGGGTGAGTCTATTAACTATAGAATAGGTGTGTTTCACCATAACACAAACATTATTAAGAAATACACAACCCGAGTCGACCAGAACAAGAAAATTTAGTTAATTATCTATTATAAAAAAATAAAGAAGCTCACTTCAGCAACCGTCCTGGGTGTGACCATAAACTACATCCGCGTCCTGGGTAAGACGATAAACTACATCCGACAGCAAGGTCTTTGATCAGGAGGTTTTGAGGAACGTGGAACCACCTCTTAATTGCTGGTGTTTCCAGGTCCACACTGACCCGGGGTGGTAGCACCTGTTAGGGTCCCAGCTATGGGCAAATAGTTAACCCCCATAACAGGGGTAAAAATACAGTGAAAGTGTAAAAATAGGTTTTAATATCAGAAATACTTTGTAAAATTAATTACCAGCAATAAATTTTTGAAGGAAGAAATTATTGCCAGCAATATATTATTACCATTTAAAAATACATTCTGAAAAAAAATATTACCAGCAATAAAAATTTTGTCGAAATTAAATGTCCCATTGAGGTTGATATGCCGTAAAAGAAAACAAACCAAACCAAACTATGTTGCAGTTTTTTGTGTATATATATCTACTAGTGTGAGCCAACCCAAATGACTTGACTCACTTTATAGTCCACCAATAGAAGGTTAACCAATCAGAAGACGTAGAATATTCAATCCGTCGTGTATAAAGGTGGCCATTTTGTTTACTCTATCCGAATGTCCAGTACCAGCTTGTCAGACGAAGAGGAACAGAAGGAAGAACTACGCTCTGCTACATTACCGGGATATCCACTGCTAACCTGAACAACTCTTCCCTACTGTCTTCGAAATATTTCACTGCTAACCCCTGGATTCTATACTCAAAGACGACCGTCATCATGAACAACAAACCAAACCAAATATGCGTAAATAGATAATCCCCAAAACGGGGCCCAAACACTATGAAAGTTTAAAAATAGATTTTAATACCAGTAATGAATTTCTGGAGGAAAAATTATTACCAGCAATACATTTTTGATGAAAAAAATATTATCGGCAATGCATTTTTGAAAAAAATATTACCAGCAATAAAAATCTTGTCGGCATTAAATAACCCATTGAGGTTGATAAGCCGTGAAACAAACCAAACCAGACCAAACCAACCACAATTTTTTGGAAATGCCGAATACAGAAAACAATTTCATTTACACAAGATATTTTGAAATCCCAAAGAGTAAATTTATTCAATAAAATCGCCATTAGCTTCGACAACGGCCTACAGAAGACTTTGAAAATCTGAAGCAACTCTTCTGAACGGTGAAAACTGCTATAAACCTCGCCTTCAGTTCATCTTTGGTGTTACAAGGAGTTTTGTTGGCCTCTCGCTTAACTGTGCCCCACACATAATAATCAAGGCGGTTACAGTCTGGGGAGTTAGGTAACCAAGTGTAAGGGGTGATATGCCGTAAACCAAACCAAACCAATAATATTTATGAACTTACATGTCCCTTAAGGAGCCGTGTTCCTGTTCAAAACAAATTCATAAATAAATATGTTGACTATACCACTACATGCTTATAAGAAGACTCATATTACATCTCTCAGACCAAAATTAGGAGCCATTTATACACACACGGAAGACTACCAAACTCAATCCGCATCATACTTGTAGAAAATACGGCCATAATAGCCTCATCCGCATATATATATATATATATATATATATATATATATATATATATATATGAAAATATGATTAAAAATAATGGAAGCATTACTAATAAAATAGAAGAAGCCAAGACTCATTAATATCAATGATGAACACGGCAACAATGTACTGACCCTGTTAAAAAAATCTTTGATAATAGGTAATTGAATGGCCAAACGTGCCCCAATATGAAGAACATTTAAACAGTTCTTACATAGTTTATGTCTGGAAAAGAAATTAATTGTACGAATGCAAGAAACATTGAATAAAAAGCTTAATCGCAGTACCTTGTCAATCGTTTTGAATAAAACAAGGATTGCTGCTAAAAAACACAAGTTATTCATCTACAGCTCACTTGATTGTCTCAATCTGTGATCGAAACCCGACTGATTTAGTATCACTCGGATACTTTACCCCTAAGCCATTGGCGCACAGCATAGACGAGCACCAATTTAGGCGTATTTATTTTTAGATAAACACGCCAGTGACTGTCGAACTCAATTCAACATAACGAAGAATCTTGCATCAGCAGCAGTAATTGTCAAAATAAAAAAAAACAGTCAGATTTATAATCCACAGTTCTTTAGCATTCATTTTTAAAACTAGTGCTCGATACACAGTAGAGCATAATATTATAATATCATTATTTAAAAATATGTATTCATCGCGACACAGAAATTACCATGTTTCAGAACCAAAAACTAAACCATAAATTAAACTTAAAATTAAAGTTTTTGTTCTTTTTTCAAGAAATGATGAATAACTTTCGAAAAAAATGACTTACTTTCTTTAAGCTAAATTGTATTATATTGTTTAAGTTGAACGGGGAAGGGGCTACAATACATACATACATATATATATATATATATATATATATATATATATATATATATATAAATTTGGAGAATAGCATTTATTCGCTATCATTTATTAGACATTGAATTGTGTCATTTGATGTTCTCCATAGCTAGCCTAGACTTTTCGGCTAACCTGATCAATATCAATGAGAGTTCTTAAATTGAATTTTTTTTTTAAAAACCAAGAGCATTTTTGGTTTGGTTTGTTTTGTTTTATGGCATATCAACACCAATGGGTTATTTAATGCCGACAACTTTTTTTTTTCCTGGTAATATATTGTTTTGTCAAAAATTTATTTCTGGTAATATCTATTTCTTCGAAAATGTATAGCTAATAATATTATTTTAAAAAATGTATTGCTGGTAATATTTTTTTTCAAAAATATATTGCTGGTAATAGTTTTTTTCCTTGAAAAATTTATTTCTGGTAATAATTTTTTACAAAGTATTTCTGGTATTAAAACCTATTTTTACACTTTCATATGGCTTTTTACCTCAGTTTTGGGGTTAACTATTTGCCCATAGCTGGGACCCTAACCACACCGGGTCAGGCTGGACCTGGGAACACCAGCAATTAAGAGGTGGTTTCACGCTCCTCAAAACCTCCTGAGCAGAGGCCTTGCTGTTGGACGTAGTTTATCGTCTTACCCAGGACCCTTTTTTGGTATTGTATACTTGTGACAAAATAAAAATCCTTGCATTTGCGTTGATTAAGTCTGTCAGAGGACCAAACTTATCGGCTAAGATAAGTTTTCCTTTTGTCTTTATTCATATATACTGTAGTAATCTGTCGGTTTTATGTAAACTTACTTATCTACAGCACTGTCGCCATATGCAAACACATCATTAAATTTCACTCTGTCTTCTGTGTATGCGAAAACATCTCAACATACGGCTCGCACGCTGCTGCCCACTGACAAAAACATTATCGTCCCCATCTCTCACTTCCTCCTTCTCTCTCTCTTTCTTTCTCTCTCTCTTTCAGACACACAGACAGACACACGCATGTGAAGATACAGCGCTGTCCGTCAGTGTAACTATTCACTTTGGCTTGGTCTCTTCAGGTCATTTCTTCAGTAGTTTATCAATGAGGACAAAAGACGACAATTACCTGTTCTTGATATGCGCAGACAGGCGACAAACGGCGCCACCAGTTCGGTATTGACAACGGTAAACATAATTTCGTGAGGAGGAAATCCTGCTGGACTCCAGGAAGTGTACAGAGGATACTATCTAACACCCTCTGTCTCATTTACCCCCACCTCTTTATCTTGTTATTTACTTTACTCGATACTTAACTTATATATATATATATATATATATATATATATATATATATATATAGGCAGCAATCCTTCGTTTATGAATGTTTCATTAAAACCGACAGACAAGGTACTACGGTTAAGTTTTTTATTTAGTTTTTTCTTGTGTTCGAACAAGAGCTTTCTTTACTGGACAAAAGTGTGTAAAAAATTGTCCAAATGTTTTATAGTTCCGAGCGCTTTGGCTATACCTTTAGCCATGATCAAGGATGATTCGATATTTCAGCTTCTTTTGTGCTCACCGTATTCGGAAATTAAAAACATCTCTATAACACACTAAAACATACACATAATGCACACACTCAATTAAGCTGAAAAATCGAACTTTGATTCTAGATGATTATTTTGGTCGGAAGTACATGTTCTTAGATTCTTTCTTTTTTACCCTTTTTATTCCTTTGGATATTGGTTTGTTCATTTACAAGCTAAAACACCTAAGGTTTTGCCGGACGAGTATAGCTACTTATATCTATAAGATTCATAGTATATATATATATATATATATATATATATATATATATATATATATATATATATATATAGATAGATAGATAGATAATATTAGTGGTAAATATACACATACATATGCAAAATATATATATACATAGGTGCATACACATACATGTAAATACGATCCAATTCATCAGACCTACAAATTTTGAATTTGTAGGTCTGATGAATTGGATCGTATTTACGATACCAATGGAATAAATTATGACCATGGAATATTAGTGTTTAAGCCTTTTATTATATATATATATATATATATATATAGATGCACGTGCAATTATATGTGCGTATACGTATGTTTTTATCATACCCATATATACATACTATTTACATTATTCGAACTATTTTCCTCATCTTTGTCTCCATATTTATTACAACAAAGACAAAGATGAGGACAATAGTCCGAATAATGTAAATAGTGTACATAATACCTCATCTCAGAAATATAGACAGATACTGAAGGACCATATATATATATATATATATATATATATACAGAGAGAGAGAGAGAGAGAGAGAGAGAGAGAGAGAGAGGGGTCGAAAATTCTTTTACAAACTTTGGTGGTAAGTTACTCACACCAAAACAACTAGAAAAGTCTATATAAACATATGTTCGGAAATCCTTCGTTTTTTGCGTTATTAAGTTTAAAGAAAGTTTACGGCAGATGGCGCTGTGTAGCCATGTAGACAAAGTTACATTTGTCATTCGTGTACATTTGTGTCCAGTCTGTCTTCAACGTTTAACGTGTGTAGCAGTGAGTTAACTGAGAAGTGTTCCGTTTAACATTGGCCGCATATTCATATCGGGAGCAGGTAGATATGATTTTTACATACACCCTCGCGAATGATGATGGACGCGAGGCTGCACGGCTGTATCTGATTGCGCTTCCAGACCGAAGGCAGCCGAGTCATCCAAGCTTTGTTGCTGTTTATCGTCGCGTGACTAAGACAGGATCCGTGGTACCATGGATCGGGGAAGATCGAGATCCACTCGTATGCCTGGCCATGAAGAACATATTCTACAGGCTGTCGAAGACGATGAAGATATCAGTACACGTCAAGTGACCTTAGCATGTCGTACATTTCATAGTACCTCATAGAGAAGTATTTCAAGTCCGTATCATTTGCAACGTGCGCAGAGTCTTTCGCCCTCTGATCACTCACTACGGGAGATCTTTTACCAGACATTAACTGCTGATCTGCCGTTTGTCCCTTCTTACGGATGAGACACCATCTGGAAGAGATGGAATAAGAAATTTACACAACCAACATCCCCATGGTTCAATATAGGCTAGACATCAGCATCAGTTTACGATTAATGTGTGGGCTGGAATTGTAGGTGACTGTCTGGTAGGTCCATATATTCTCCCAGCACGTCTTACAGGAGCTGTCTACAGGGACTTTATTTCGAACACATTTCCAGACCTGCTTGAGGATGTACCCCTGCTAATACGAAGACGCATGTGGTTAATACATGATGGGGCTCCAGCACATTTTAGTCAGATTGTTCGCGATGCACTGGCTGATATCTACCATGAAAGATGAGTAGGTAGGGGAGCACCGGTTCATGGTCTGCACGTCCCTCGACCTCATTCCTCTGGATTTTTTATGTGGGGCCAACTAAAGATTGGTTTATGCGGCAGACATTACTAATGCAGAGACGCTTCATCAAAGTGTTCTGGGGGTCTGTGGAACCATTCGACACCGTGTCGGAGTATTTGAAAAGGTCCACCAGTCAATGATCCGACGGGTCATTGCGTGTGTAGAAGCAAGTGGAGGACAGTTTGAACATTTGTTATTACTGTGTTAAGGAACAACGATGGCCTCTTGGACATATGTTTTTATGGACCATACACCTTGTTTTGGTGTCAGAACCCCCCCCAAAAAAAAAAAGTTGTAAAAGTATTTTTGAATTATATCTTGGATTGTGCATTTCACAGCTTCAACCATAAAATTTAAATTTAATAAATCAAAAAGAACTTTTGTACTTGTTTTGGTGTGAGGAACCTGGCCCAAATTTTGTAAAAATATTTTATACTCCCTATCTATCTATCTATCTATCTATCTATCTATATATATATATATATATATATGTATATGTGTGTGTGTGTGTGTACTTTCTATATATATTATTTATATATTATATATGGGCGGTACTTATTGGAAAGCGCTCAATATCAGTGATAGAGTTATCTTAGTTGTATTGATGTGAGTTTGTGACCCTGGGTTTCACACCCTTGCGATCGCCAGAGGATCCAGACAAAGTAAAAGTCTACATTGGACCCACAAGACATGAATTCAAAAAGCGTTTCAACCAACATCAATGTTCTTTTAGAATAAATAAATACCGAAATCAAACCTCCCTATCTAAATATTTCTGACACTTTAAAAGAAACCAATAAAACACCTATTGTGAAATGGAAATTTGTAAGAAAAGCTAGAATATGTAGGTCATTAAATAACCCATGACCTTTGTGCATACATGAGAAATTATACATTACTAGATTTATAAAAAAAAATTTTACATAATCAAAGAAATGGAATAGCTATTCTTTGCCGACATTGTCAGAGATTTTCCTTAAATAATGTTTAAAAATAAAGCTGAAAAATGAAACATACACATTTATATTTGATATTTTAATAATAATTTTTAAATAATAAAGTAATTTTAATATTTTTTGTTTTAAAAGAAGTATATTCTATTAGTAATTAGAATTAGGAATAATATTTTAAAATTGTATTTTAATACGAAGTACTCATATTCAAACAATCCTTTTGGAAAAAAATCTTGTATGAATACAATTACAAATTTAACGGCAAAACAAAAGTGCTGAAAAACTTTTTGTCATTAAAAATATCCCCCAAAACAGACGACATTTGAAAAACGGGCGTCATCATTTTTTGAACAGGCACCACTACCCTACCTTAACTTAACCTCATTTCGAAAGTAACTCATATTGTGATACAATGGTTGTCAGTGAAAACGAATACCCTACCAGCCCTTGTCAAAATGCTTGAATTTCCACGTATTTTTAAGAACTAATATTAGAATGTTTGTGTTTATAAACTCAGTAAATTTCAAAATAAGTTATTCCAAAATTCGATTGAATGTGAAACAGTACTAGGGATTTTATTTTAATTCTATAAATAAATTTGAAGTTTTTAGGCTCTGTTTTTGAAATATGCTAATTCCTGTGTAGCGATGGAGCCATATTTTTAAATTAGTAAATTTATAATATTTATGCTCTGCAGAATTGTATTGAGCACTGTTTTTTAAAAAATAATTAATTAGAACACCAGATTATAAATCTTACTGTTATTTCTCTTTATTTTAATTCATATATATATATATATATATATATATATATATATATATGTAACACAGGTAATAGGTCCGTTGGTATATAATCCAGGTTGATTCTAGTAATATCAGATGCTAAAACTATATGTGTATATATATATATATATATATATATATATATATATATATATATATATATATATATATATAATATTGTTATCCCTACCTCAAACCGATTTTTCTTCTCACATTTTGAATGTGTTTTATCTCCTTTTTCTTTTCTGTGGCTCACTCTCTCTCTCTCTGACTGTCTCTGTCACTTTTTCTCTCAATAATATATATATATATATATATATATATATATATATATATGTGTGTGTGTGTGTGTGTGTGTGTGTGGCTATCTCATTTTTCTCCCTTTCTTAAATCATTTTCTCTCTCCTTCCCCCTCTCTCTATCTATCTATTTATTGTCTGTATCCTCAAAAGGGTCCATCTTCGAGTGGATACTAACAGGCTCTGGAATCTCAGTCTCTTTTCTCTCTCTCTCTCTCTCTGACTGTCTCTGTCACTTTTCTCTCCTCAATATATATATATATATATATATATATGCGTGTGTGTGTGTGTGTGTGTGTGTGTGTGTGTGTGTGTGGCTATCTCATTTTTCTCCCTTTCTTAAATCGTTTTCTCTCTCCCTCCTCCTCTCTCTATCTTATTGCCTTATTGTCTGTATCCTCAAAAGGGTCCATCTTCGAGTGGATACTAACAGGCTCTGGAATCTCAGTCTCTCTCTCTCTCTCCCTCTCTCTCTCTATATATATATATATATATATAGTGTGTTTATATCTATCTATCTATCTATCTATCTATCTATATATATATAGTGTGTTTATATCTGTCTATCTATCACAGTCTGTTCATATCTATCACTCCCTCACTCTATCTATCTATCTATCTATCTATCTATCTATCTATCTATCTATCTATCTATCTCTAAGTGTGTTTATATCTATCTATCTATCTATGTTAATTTCCACCGCAATTTTCCAAACAGCATCCTCGCTCCACTGATTTTCGGCGTGTCGTCGTTGATAACAACAGCTTCACGCAGGGTTAATATGCTGACTCATCTCGGGCCATACGGCGAGATACTCCAAGCCCTCCTCTTACAACCACCACCACCACCACCACCACTGTCCTGTCCTCTGCAATCAACACAGCGGGGACACCCTCCAGCATCCGCCAGAAATTCATCGTCTCATCATCATTGGCTATTATCGCAGATTCGTCATGGAAGCCATGAAATAATAATCGCCAAACCAGTTACCATTTTCTGCAAAGCTCCAGCCTCTCCCCCGACGCCATTCTCCAGCCATCACTACTACTACCGTCTTTATCGGTATTAGGAGAAATGAGTTGATGGTAAGTGGATATCTATGGGTTGAGGAGGTGTGTACCGCCGTCACAGTCGTGATGTTAAACGTGAGTGACATCATAACGAAAATTTGGAAATGACTGGAACGTTCTCCTGGTCCAATTCCACCACCATTACTATTATGACCTCTGATGGCTCCCCAAGAGTTTGTCTTCATCGTGTAAGATTCACCCTAGATTATTTCAGTTTCTATTTTCATTTTATTTACTTGCTTATTACATTTTCTATTTTATTTATCTATTTATTTTATTTCTTCTACTCGCGCCGGGCTTTTATCTGTGTATCTACCGGGTGTAACAGTAAAATTGTCCGCATCGTGTAACAGTAAAATTGTCCAAATCGTGTAACAGCAAAATTGTCCAAATCGTGTAACAGCAAAATTGTCCAAGTGTTAGATTAAACTCTAAACTGTTGTATCTTACAAATGATTAAAGATAGCTTACTGGAATTCTCCGAGGTTTTTATAACACTATTGGACTCTACTTTGAACAATAAGCATGTATTTAGCTCTAAATTGAAACGATGATCCCTCTTGCTGTTGTGACCTCTTGTTCCAGTTTTCCTCTCTACGGTTCTTCTCATTTGAAAACTTATTCACCGTTCATTATTTACATTATTCGGACTATTGTCCTCATCTTTGTCGCCATATTTATTACAACGTTTCGGTCGTTGTAAGTTCCGGCCTTCTTCAGGTGGTTGAAAGGCAGGAGCGTACAACGGCCGAAATGTTGTAATAAATATGGCGACAAAGATGAGGACAATAGTCCGAATAATGTAAATAATGTGCATAATACCTCATCTCAGAAATATAAAGTTATTCATCGTTCTCTTGATGGTTCTTGAATGGACTTTGAAGAAGGAAGCCAGAGAATGAATGTTGGTACCATTACTGAGGGCCTGAATGATCTTTTTTCCTCTCACCATTGCTCAGTTGGGAAGACATAGTATGACTGTCATAAAACGATTTTAATCTGAATAACTCAAAGGGTTTTTCCAGTGATTCTTACGAAAAATGGCGTGAAGTTGGCTAAACGTCTTATCTGAAAACCAGGAAAAATAAACTCAATTTGTTTAGTGTCTTTTTAGATATTGAACATTTTGTGTGATAGACAATTATCCTATGCTGTTACACGATTTGAAAATTTTTACTGTTACATCACTTTCTCACACACACACACACACACACACACACACACACACACACACATATATATATATATATATATATACTAGCCCGGCGTTGCCCGTGCTTGATTCAAAAATCGTACGGCTCATACAGCAATCGCTATCACTTGACTTAAAATATTTTTGCCCTTCCTTGCCTTTAAAGGAATGCCCTTTGCCGTGCTGATGTTGCTACATGCCTTACTTCTTGCCTATCTCACACTGCGAATTTTTTCTAAGCTCTATGCTAAACATTAAATCTGTTACAAAAAAAGAACTAAACAAAATGAACACAAAACGATCAGCTTTAAAAAAAAAGGACTCGTAACTGGAAAAACCGAATGAAAAAAGAATGTTAACAACAAATACTTTTTCACACCCAACCCAGTTCTGCGGAATCAGAATCAACGTTGAGTTTAAGCAAGCGAATGAACCAATTGGAGTAAAGTGCCATGCAGATGTAAATTTTTCCCACTTGTGACGAATGCTAGCATGCTAGTTAACATTCGTGTCAGTCAGCTGTTGGCTCTCACGCTGGCCAATAGAATCTTCCTGCCTATTCGTGGCAGTCAGCTATAGGCTTTCACTCTGGCCAGTAGAAAATGGCCGCAAACTACATGAAAACTGCCGTAGAAGCATGAAAAAATCGATTATTTCCACTATCGATGGGAGTTGGGAAATGCAACGTCGGTCTTGGCCTTCCCACTAACTTGGAGCATGTACATGTAAATTTTGGTGCAAATCAGTCGAAAATCCGTGCATTCGTTACACACACACACACACACACACACACACACACACACACACACACACACACACACACACACACACACACACATACTGCCTTTTATAAATATATATATATTTATGAATAAAAATGACAATAGGAAAACTGGTAATTGCTGACGCGTTTCGTCCAATGTGGACTTTATCAAAGCAAAATACGAAAATAAAATTAAATGAACAAAGTAACTAATAAAAACAAAAACAGAATGTACCTAGCAACTGGAATGTAGAGAAACACTATTTTCATATTTTTTAACTGAAAAATAACGTCAGAGATTGTCACGTGTGGAGAATATTGTCATTATATCTGTGTTGATGTATTCAACCATTTTCTTTCGATTTTATGAATTTGTTGTGTATATTTGTTTGTAAGAGCATTAATTTTGTTAAGAAAGGTGAAATAGGGAAAATGCCTGGGCGTAAATTAATATTTGGATAATTTTCTATGGCGGCACTCTCCAGAATTTTCCTTCTGAGTGAGTTATTTTCTTTTTTTATGAGTGTAGCATTTTTAAAATCAAAATTATGGTTGTATTTATTTCTATGTATGACTATTGCATTAGCTAAGTTGTTTTTTGTGAGGTCTCTTTTGTGCTCATAAATTAACAAAATTAATGCTCTTACAAACAAATATGCACAACAGATTCATAAAATCGAAAGAAAATGGTTGAATACATCAACACAGATATAATGACAATATTCTCCACACGTGACAATCTCTGACGTTATTTTTCAGTTAAAAAATATGAAAATAGCGTTTCTCTACATTCCAGTTGCTAGGTACATTCTGTTTTTGTTTTTATTAGTTACTTTGTTCATTTAATTTCATTTTCGTATTTTGCTTTGATAAAGTCCACATTGGACGAAACGCGTCAGCAATTACCAGTTTTCCTATTGTCATTTTTATTCATAAATATTGTCTTCTCTACCGATTAAATCGGAGAAATTTTCAAATATATATATATATATATATATATATATATATATATATATATAGTGGAATCTCAGTTTACGAATTTAATTCGTTCCTGAAGCCCGTTCGTAACCTGAAATATTCGAAAACCCTAACTATTTTTCCAATAGGGATCAATGTAAAATAGATTAATTCGTTCCTGGTACCAAGATGATTGCTTATTTAAACTTTAACAACAGTACTTTGTGCACAAGGTTATACATAAAACTGATATAAATCATTAAATCATTAAAAAAATAAATAAACCCAATACTAGATAAAATATAGACGAACACTTCAATTTTACCATACCTGTAAGTTGGAGAATTGATGACGTAAGTGGAAGGGGAAGGAAAGAGATGTTATTGTTTGGAAAAGGGGAAGGAAAGACATGATCGTCACTTTATTTATAAGAATAGTACATAGATTGTTGATTTTGCCATATGAAACTGAGTAGGAAGAGACACTATCATCAACAGTTATTTTTCTCTTAAATTTTCTTTTTCCCTTACCGATATCACTGCTGCTTTCTTTGGAGCCATGACTGAGGAGGAATGAATAGAAAAAAAGGCACAGTACAATAAAATTGGTAAAGAAAAGCACAGCAAAACACTCAAATGTATACAAGATGGCGGTCGACTCAGAAATGATTCCGTTCGGGTTAACTCGGTTCGGCTAGGTTCAGCAATGTTGTTCAAGAAACGAAATTTTATTTGATAACCGAGGCATTTTCATCTTGAATATTCTGTTCGAAAACCGATTTGGTCGACATGTGAGACGTTCGAGAACAGAGGTTGCTCTGTATATATATATATATATATATATATATATATATATATATATATATATATGTGTGTGTGTGTGTGTGTGTGCGTGTGCGTGCGTGCGTGTGTGTGTGTGTGAATGAATAAATTAGTAGCAGATTAATTAATAAGTTAAATAATCTCACAGAAATATACGCGTTAAAAAAACTTTGCCGCCAGTGAGATTTGATCTCATGACACCTGGTTTATGAAATTAGTGGTCAAAGCCACTGATCTGATATTTTGCTAATAGAATCCACTCATCATCGAGGATGGCTTTGAGGAACCTTTTGAACCAGAAAACCGAAATCCCGAGTCCTTGCATACATACTAAAAATTGCTCTTAAGCATATATGAGGCTGGATAAACAAATTTCATTTCAATTACCCCACACCAGTATATTTACAATACCCTTGCTTTACTTCCCTTTCCCTGGCTTCTTCTTTTTTTCCTTCTCGTTCCTTCTTCACATCCTCCTCCCCATATAAACTACCCCTTTATGTAACTTACTACCTCGAGTGGCTACCGTGCCTTGGACAGGGTGAAGCCTACTGTTTAAAAAAATGCAAGCTGCAATATATATATATATATATATATATATATATATATATATATATATATATATATATATATATATAAAATCAAGGCCTCTACTCAAAAACAGGAACACTCAAAAAATGTACACACACACACACAAATATGTATATATGAATAAGACATGTTTTATGTTTATACGTTCTTTTTATAGATATAATATTTAAGTAAATGCTCTGTTTTATAATAAACAGCATTAAACAACATTTACCGGCCTGAATGTCCGAGAAATCTTCAAATAAAATATACATCCTCCGACAGGAATCGAACCTGTATACTATACGGAACAGTCATTATAGCCTGACGTGCCTTAACCGATTGGGCCACAGAGGAGAGATCGGTTAACAAATTGATTTTTTCAATCTTCCATGATTCTTTCACGTACATTTATAGCTGTTCAATGCGTATTCAAATGTTAAAAAAATGACGCCACACATTATGAAATGGCCAAAGTCCGACAATTATTTTTATAGATGCAAATATTTAAGTAAATGCTCTATTTATAATAAACAGTATTAACAACATTTACCAGCCTGAATGTCCGAGAAATTCTCATAGAAAATATTCATCCTCCGACAGGCATCGAACCTGTATCCTATACGGAACCGTCATATAGCCTGACGTTCCTTAACCGCTTGGGCTAACCGAACACTCCTCTGTAGCTCAATCGGT